TTTTGCGACCTTATACATCTGTGCTTCCTCTGGGGGTTGTGTAAGTTCTCGTGTAGCTGGAGCTTTCTTGCTACTTGATGTGCCGTAGAAAATATCCCCTACTCCGCCTGGAAATTCATTCGTTGGCCTTTATGGCTGGTCATTTATCAGTCGCTCGCCGTGTAAATTCTGCTTTGTTTTGCCCTGAACTTTTCCCATCGTTTTAAGCCTCTGTCGTAGATGGGCTTCTCGTTCATTGACTTCCCGACAATCGCCGCTAATCACGGTGTTGGTCACCGCATCTGAGAGATCTTTGTACTTTTCTTTGCCCTCATGAATATTGTTACGAAATGTACAGGCGCGGTAAAGATGGCTTCCCCTCAAAGCAGTTTTAGGGTTTCCATAAAATGGTAAGGGAGGCAGGGTTGCCACATTTGGTGAGAAATCGCCCTTTTGGCGACAAAATTGGCGATATAACATGGACGGATGGAGAACCTTCTGGAACGAATTCTTACCGGTTTAGCCCAGAATGTTCTCGAACACAAGCCGAAAGCTATATAAACCCTGCTGGTCTGCAGTCAGTTAGTGTGTGTGCCTCGTCTAGCGAGCTGATAGTCAGTCATTGAGCGAATGCCTCGAAGTCTAGCGCCGAGTTGGTCGTCGAGTGCATCGAGAGAGTCTTTTAGTGCATCGTCGAGTTTTGTCTTAGACTGCTGAGTCGAGAGCTATACACTTGTGCATCGTCGAGTGCATCGCGTGGAGAGTCTCGAGAGTACGTGGAATTCCGAGAATGACCAAACAGAGTCGGATGCTGTACTTTGGTGCTTTGCAGTGAAGCTGTCTTCACCGTTATTGTCTGACAGTGTGAAGGATGTATCGCTGAACGTGTCAGCGTGTCTATAACAGTTCAATGACTGTAAAAGTGATTTTGGAGCTGTCCTGAGAATATTGGTAAGTAAAGTGTGTTTCGATACTTCACCAAGTGCCGTCGTTATTCACTCCAAATCTACGAACCCCGTACGAACGTGAAGGAAGAAAATAACGTAACAATAAGTTTCTTTTCGGTCTTTCCGTTCTACGCAGTTTTCTTTTTGAAGACTCGTCGACTTAGGTTTTTTCCCCTCTCGTTTTCACTATATCCGGCGTCCTTTCTTTTCTTTGAGGGCCTTGTACTCGAGATGTTGGCATTGTATCAGCAGCATTTCTAGATGGCCTTTCGTTGTTCACACTTGGTGATTCCCGAAAAACATCTTATGGCAGTGGCATATCATAGTGCGCTCATAATAGCGCTTGGTCTGGTCTACGTTGGCTCTGGTGCTTACACTGTTTTGATAGTTCAGAAACACTACACTTTTTTCAATTGAGCATTTTTAATTTCATCTGCATTAAAGTTTCGAACTTATTACAAAACTCCTTAACCTTTTCTTCTGGTGCAAACGAGAAAGAATGTTTAATTTTCAGCACTATCTCCCACCTTAAAATCAACTTCTCGCCTTTTTTCTTGTCATAATAAATTTTTTGTTTCGACCTTACCATATTCGAATTTCGAATTGCTTCGTACGCTAATTTCTGACTGCCTGTGTCGTCTTAAATTCTGCAGACCTCTTTTGAACCGAAAAAAAAAATAAAAATAAGAGGCTTACAGAGCGGCGTGTGTAACTTTTCTGCCGAGAAATAATTCAGCCAATATATTGCTTGTAGTCTCATGTTTTGCTATCCTCAAGGCAAATGCGCGCTCATTGATACAGTCATTCGAACGTTTGTGACAATGTTTAACATAGTTTCGGATAATTTTCACCATGTTTCAATTTATCCGCTCTGCAGTATTCGACTGTGATCGATAAGGAACCATTTTAAAATGTTTTATACCAAGACCTGTATATATAGATTCTCAAAATTCCAAATAACGATTTGCTTTCCTTTAACTGATATTATTTTATGTGGAGTTCCATACTTTAATATAAATGCATTTAAAAATAAATCTAGAACAGTTTTTGCTGGAAGCTCTTTTGAGGGGAATTATTTCTATACCTACTTTGAGAAACAATCAGATATTATGGGCAAATATCTAGTTTTGTTTCTTTTTCACTGCGAGGGCAAGAAACTACTAAGTCCATTCTTATTAATGCCTTAGAAAAAGTAGCTTTTATGCAATTTAGGTGTACGGCCGGGCTATAATTAATATCGTTAACTAACTGACAAATATTACAAGATTTGACATGTTGGGGTACAAATGTTTTGTAGCTGTAGAAAATAGACAACTTCCCTTATTCCCTGGACCATTTTTCTTATTCCGAGATGGCCTGAAAATTACGCATAAAGCAAGTCCTGCAAAATATTTAATCCTAAACTCGCTTGGATAGCCGATCTTAATTCATTATTATTTTTTTTACTTTGGAGTAAAACAAGATTGTCAATTAGACTAGAATAATAGCTATAAAATTGCACGGATTCTCCAGAAATTCAATTTTCAAGTCGTTTTCTCCCCTATTAATAAAATTCACCCTTCGATTCTAAAAGATTGCGTTTCTGTCTTGAATTCTTGGGGAATTTATAGTATATCATGTCAATGTGGTTTAAGATATATTGGCCAAACAAAAAGAGCGTTGAAGTTTCGTATCAAGGAACATGAATCTTATGTCAAAAAAAGGCGAAATTAACAAGTCTTCAATAGCGTATCATAGCTGGACTTTTAACCATAATTTTGATTTTGGGTCTGCAAAAATCATCCAAAAGGCTTTTCTTCCATAGGCGAATTGGATTTTCTTGAGGCTTTTCACATTCACAAAGATTTAGAAAGTTTAGTTAATGATTTGAAGTCCAATCCAGTCCTTCCTAATGCCTTTAAAATTCTACTATCTTAATTCAATTATTTTTGCCGATAGATGGCGTTACCTCCTCGCGCTTGGTACTACCAGAGGGTATAAAAATCCGTTCAGTGGTTGCTTTCCATTATTTGAAGTTCAGATTTTGAGCGTAATGTGCATTTGCCCCTCGCTCCCTATTTTAACTTCGCTAATATTTCTTTATGCTTGATCAGACAGCCTGGCTCAGTAAAAGTAGGCGGCCAGTGCAACTCTGATTAAAAATCTAGTTATAACCACGTGCAGTGCTGATAAGCACCACGTGTTTCTGTGACTCCTTCTCCTATTTTCTTCTTTCTATGTATTTCTTTCTTCTGATGAGGAGGGACCTTTAGCTGCCCTCGAAATCGATTGAGTGTTTCATTATACCTACGCTAAATATAAGGTTGTTTTTTACGATTTTGATTGTCACATTAGCGTGTTTCTCTTCTATTCTAGTCAAGATTGTCAATTGTTTGATTACTTGCAGCTCTGTTTCTAATTACCTGTCATATCATGGTGTTCAAAGTGGTTGGGATCTTTCAAGTAGGCAGAAATGTTTTTAAATTCTGGGTCTGTTTGTAGTTCTGTGATAACTGTTTCTCGAGAATCTAAATTTTTTTTTAATTAACATTGTAATTTTTACTACATTCTCATCATCATCTAGTTTAATTCTTGATAGAACATCCGCTACAACATTTCCTTTCCCGGGAGGGCATTTAAATATTAAATAGTATTCTTGCAATTTTAAGGACTGATCGCATGAGTCTGGGCGATAAATTCTCCCTAGAATACAAACAAGCGACGACCGCATGGTCTGTAAACACAGTATCTGGGGTTCTCTCAAAATACACTCAAAGTTTTTGCGCCGCCAAAAGAACAGCTAACGCTTCCTTTTCGGTAGAGGTATAATTTCTTTGGGTTAAGTGAATTGCTAAAATGTGCAACCGGCTGCCGTCTTGAACTGGACTATACCTATATACTCATAACAAACAATGGGTGTCCATTGCGCTTCCACCTGTACCTGTCCATCTTGAATAAGCTCGGCTCCTAGAGCGAAATCTGAGCCATCTCGGGAGATTCCTTATTTACAATCCGCTTCAAGAAATTTCAAGACGAGAGCTTGAATTAAAGCCTCTTTAAGTCTTTCAAATGCCTTGTTTGCACACACTGTGAACCTGGCTTTTTTTTCTTTTAAAGTTTAATAATAGCTTTGCCATATGAACAAAATCTTTAACCAATATTAGGAGCACAAGCCCAAAAATAAGGCCAATTTCTTTCCATATTAGGGGGTAGATAATTTTTTATTGCTATTATTTTAGAATCTTCCTTTTAGATTCTCCCTGAGATATCTCATGCTTTCACCTTCAGAAGAGAAAACATTTCGTGCAGATCCCGAATATATTTATCCATTGTCTCACTTATTATTATATCGTCTAAGTAAATAAATGTAGATAATCCAAGGACAGGTCTTAGTTCAACATCCACAGCTATTTGAAACGGGTCGGGTGCTTCGCATAAGCCAAACGGCCTTCTAAGAAAAGCATAAATTCTTGATTTGATAATAAATGCGGTTTTTGACACATTCTGTGGTTTCACATATATCTGAAAGTATCCAGAGCTCACGTCTAGCGTCGTCATGTATTTTGCGGGTTTAACTTTTTCAGTGTTTCTTAATTATTAGTAAGAGTTAGACCGGGTACTTTGTTATGCTATTTAGTTTTCTATAGTCAATAGCTAAAAGCCATGCTTTCAAATGGCATTGGCCCGGGGTGATTTCATGTGGTTGATCACTTAAGTTAACCCTGGGGGCCACTTTAGATGAATTTGAAAATTTTCTTGCCAATTGTTTCAACTTCAAATCAAGGGGGTTTGTCAATTTTTGGTCTATGCCAACTAAAAAGGTCTATTCTATTGCCCTTGCTCCCGTTTGCCACCAACTAATAATGAGTTTTCTTTATTTTATTCTTAATGTATTTAATATTTCTTTATATTGTCAGAATAAACTTTTGATTATTACATTTGAGGGGACGAGGCATGAAAATATTAACGACTGCTAAAACTGTGAGAAAATTGTAGCATGATTCAGTATTTATTTTGTCTTTAGCGGAGCAGCAACAGCGACAACTAAATTGTCAAAATCAGACATGCCTTTCCAATGTGTCTTAGTAGCCATGGCAACAATTGTCAAAACAAAAGCCGTTTTGTCTCGGTATGATTTTTCGTTCATAACTTCGAAAGTGTGCATTAAGTCATATCCTGAAATTTATGACATATCTGGTAAGGAATCTCTTCTGTTCTCTATAAAAATATGCCCAGTAACTTTTTTTATTAAAACCGTATACAGTACTGATATTATTTATCCAGATAACTTATCTTTGCTAGTAATTATGTCACTCTATTGCATATAATTATATTTTAACTAAGAAATGCTCGAAACAGACAAGTGCACTTTAATAAGCTAGGTAATTACTTAAGTTTTCCAGTTATTGGGCTTAATTATTTTGCGGATAAGACTTGTGTTCATCATTGTTTTCAAAGCTAAGAATAATTTCAAAAATATGTACTTATGTATAGTTATTCTTTATAGTTATGCTTATAAAGATGGGAAAGAATAGCTAATTGGCTGTTCTTCACAACTATAAAAATGTATTTTGTGCCACTGCTTAAAAGTTACATATTATAGTCCATATTTTTATGAAGAAATGGATATTTCTTTTAAAATGACAATTGCTTTTAGTCATCTAGAACTGACAAACATAATCTTTCAGTCTACAGCATGAATACTTTACATGAAGCTAATGGGAATGCAATGGCCACTTAAACAGCAAAGTACCAAAATTTTATTTAATTCAGGTATTCACAACTTCAAAAAAAATATTGCACTTGCTGAATTTTTTTGCTTTTCCTAGTTTCAGAAATCAATGAATCTTTAAAACCAGTCTGAAATATATATATAAATGTATCTAATAATAAGATTGATTTTATTTTATGTACATTTAATATTGAAAATACCTTTCAATTTACCAAAGAAAAAATTCCATGAAGAAAACATTCCTTATATAGCAGCTGGAAAAAATGTATTGTACAGTCTGATATATTTTTTGTGTGTGCTAGAGCTTGGCTTCAGTACTTCTCAATTTCTGAGGTAAATCGTGATTCTAGCCAGAGCGCAAAGAGGACTGCGGCACTTCTTTTATGTAAATGAAATACAGTTTCAGTGGGCAAATTTTATTTTAAAAATAAATATGCATTAAAAAATTATTATAACTTCCGAATGCATATTTGTCTGTCTCTGGAGAAAAGACGGGTGGAGGTATTAAACCTTTTAAGCAAAGAAAATCTCCCATCCACATGTCAAACACATCCCATACATCCAGTGTTACATTACTTGGTCATACACATCCAGTGTTAGTGACCTGTCACTGCAAAACTCTTGTAGATTTGAACTATGTAACCAAATATGGGGAACAAAAATCTATCACTTGTGCAGACCTTACATTTGTTTTCATGTTAAATTCATTTGTTCTCATGTCAGATTTGTTCATTGGATTGGATTCAGGAGAAAGTTTTTGCCCAGTCGCAATCTGCTTGAAAGCTAGAATTTTAGGGGCATTGCAGTCAGAAAGCTTAGGACTCTTCTGTTTGTTTTCAAAGCTACATTACTCCATTAAAATTTCTTTCCTTACTCTCATATTCTTTCTAGCATTTTCTCTATTCTCATTAGTGACGCTTTGATCATTTTATGTTTTTCCACTGATGTTCTGAAAAAAGAATGTTTTTTACTTCTCTAATCTCTTGCAGTAGTATGTTATACGTATATTCAGGGCTTGAATTTAGCTGGAGACTGGCTAAATTCTAAAGCAGGGGTTCTCAACTTTTTTTGTCCCATCACCACCCACCTCCCTTTCCAAAATTTGGAAAACATGTATACATTTATTTAAATTTAGATTATTTTTTAATGCATTTTGTAAATTAAACAAGAAAAAGTATAGAAAACATTGATAAATACCAAAACTTAAACAAAAATGGTTTGTTATACTCATAAACTAAAACTAAATAATTAACAGGTAAATAAAAGGCTGACTCATTCCCTTTCTGAAACTATGAAACCAGAGGGAATTTTTCTTCTTAATGAGAACTCCTGTTCTTCAGAATTCAGAGTTAAGTATATCTGTGATTATCAGGTCAGAAGTAATAAAATTTATTATTGTTATATTACCGACAGCTGACACACTAATGTATGTATAATTTAATACATTTTTCTGATGTGTAGGCATATAATAAGGTATATTTTAATCCATAATTAAACATAACTTGCTTTACAAAGATATCCACAGTGTTCAACAGCATTTTAAATTTTTTTACGTCTGTAATCTGCTTTCGATGCCATAGTGCTTTCACAGTTGTTTACCAAGACAATTTAAAATAAATATAATGACTATTTTGATATAATTTGTGTTTATTATTCCATAATGTGTTGTTATATTTTTGGTAAATAAAAATTATTGATTGTTGTCATAATACATACATTAAACTGCCTCTTATATGTTCAAAAGCTGGGCACCATTGATGCATATAATTGCTATTATTATTAAAGCTAAAAAAATGCAAAAGTAAATAAATAAATAATATATGAATCAAAATGTTCTCTAAATAATTTTTAAATGCTTTGTAAAAGCAGTATAATGATAAAATATTGGAGTAATATTCAACTAAAAACTAAAAGCGCTTTTCTTTGCTTATTTGTTTATTAGGCTGGCAAAAATTTAAGAAAAAGGAAGATAAATGATTTTAATTCTCTGTTTATATCAGAGCACAATATAACAATTTCCTTTACAACTGTAAATTTTTATAATCATTACCTATATTTTAGTATTTATTTTTAGAGTGTTTATGATAGTACCTTTTCAAGAGTTTTTGCCAATGCAATTTGTGTGTATTCATTTGGATAAGAAATTAAATTTAAGAAATATTAACAATTTATCATGGGTTCTATTTCTAGTGATTAAATAGACTGGTTTCATGGGAGGTTTTGTTGTTTTCGCTATATGTAATAAAAGCATTTAGGAACTTAGAAAGTAAACCATGGTGTCTTAGTACTTTCCGATTACCTGCGCCCCTGCTGAAATACAGGTCATGAACTTGTTGCCAGTTTTGGAGAGCATTCATGAATTTGTCAGCAACTATGGGGAGAAAACTTTTATTTGAGTATCTGCTTCTATTTCAGTGATGTATCTAATGTCGCATATTTTTTTATATTCTTTCCCCCTTCCATACAAGAAATGCACACTCCTCAATTTTTTGTGCTCCTTAAATATACAGCAATTGTTTTCACGGTACTTTTTTTTGTGGGGAGGGGGAGATTCAGAAATGTATGTATATGTGCATGTATATATGTGCATATGTATGTATACATATATGTGTGTCACATATACACCAGTTCTGATAACAGAAAAGTATGACAGAAAGATGTTTTTGCGACAAAAATTACACAAACTCACCATCAAAATTCTAAAATTACACAAAGAATTACACAAACTCACCATCAAAATTCTAAAATGAGAAAGTAAAAAGAGGCCCATGATACTTTTAAGTGAGCCGCATTACACTTTGTGTAAGCAAAAAGTTGTGTCTTAGTTTTTGCTAAAGAGGAGAATTGTAATAATATGTAGTCTATTGCTATGCTAAGATGCTTACATTCCCATAGGAGGAATCATAATCTGTGGTAACCACTGGTGAAAATGTCCAGAGAAATAAATGAAAAGCCATTTGGGGCAGATGCTACATGTATACCAGGGTTGCCACATAATTACTTTTTTAGAACATTTGGGTTACCATAAATACTTTTTGGTGACTTGGTATGTTGCTTTACTAGTACTTTTTTGTGTTTTTTTTTTGGGGGGGAGTAGAGGCTGCACGTAATCGGTAAGTACCATCATCTTTCCTTTTAGGCAGATAACTGTCATAATTTACCAATGCTCTACTTTAAAACAATTGCTTAATTTTTCTGTTTCAGCCTTGAACTGTGGTATGCTTTTAAAATTAAAATACAGATAAATATTACGTAACTTTTTAGTTGACAAGATATCAGCTATGGAATTAGAGGCTATCTAGTACTTTCTCATTAAAGCAGCTACTACATAAACTTTTGGTTATAAAACTGTATGTTACAAAGTCAGACAGTTTTTGTGTCTAATCATATTGTCACTTTAATATGGATGTACTGAATGTCTTGTAATTTGATACTAATTAAATATTAATTTTCTTCTCATGTTATATTGCTTTGGTTATAATTGCATTAATTAAGCTACTTTTTGTAATTACATTTATGCTGATGTTATATCCATTCATTTATTTATTTCAGATTCTAAATTTCATGGCTACTACAAAAAGTACCATCCAAGGAAATCCAAACTGAGTAATTTAAGTAAATTAAGAAGACAATAATGCCACTAGTTTCACAAAATGATTTACCTCTCATATCAATCTCTAGCTGCTTGGCTCTTTCTGTCAATAGCTGGAGTAAAGGTATCCAAGTCCCATTTAACAAAGCCAGAATTGCCTGGATCTTGCCTTTCACAACCTTGTGTTCACGGTATTTGCATTGGAACTGCATCAGGTGGACATCAGTGTTTTTGCCAAAATGGTTATACTGGTTTAAATTGCCAGACTAATTATGATGACTGTCGCAGCGAACCTTGTTTCAATGGTGGTTCATGTATTGACGGTATTGATGACTTCACATGTGTTTGTGACCAAGGTTTTACCGGTATGATATGTTATTTATTATTGATTATGAATAAATCTTAAATTTGTCCTAAATTTCAAAATTGTTAAACCTCACTTCGTGTTCTTTCTTGTAATAAAATCATAATTTAATCATGTGATAGAAGGTCTTTTTGTAGGGATTTCAGTAGTCTATTATTGATAATATTCTGCTGGAAATCTCTTAAAGAGCATTAAGTAATTGGAAGAAATTCAATAAATACATATCATTACTTACAGTGCTTTGTTTTAAAGTTTAAACAATTATTGAAAGAAATATAGTACTTAAATGTTTCATTTATTTTGAGTAAACCTTGCTTTTTTATGCTACTTGCCAACTTCATTATTTTGCATTTTTTATAAACTAATGTTCCTAAGCACTTATAAGGCTGTTTTATTTTTATTTAAAAAATTAAATCTTGCTTATAATCTCTGAAATCAATGTCTTGAAATTATATTAGCTTCATTAATAATCACAATTTTTTTTATGAACATACAAACACATCATCTTAATTTAATTTTTTATTACATGTGTCATCATGTTTTAAAGATTAATTTTTTTAACTGTTTTCGCTTAAGTAAGTACTAATGTATGATTTTTTTTTTCAGTCTATTCTTTCATGTTTTTCATTTAGAAATCAGCTTTTATTCTTGAATTCTTCTGTTATAAAAATTCAGAAAGTGATTAATAATGATAATGATAATGGTTAAATCTGTAATGCATAATGATTTAGTAATTCACTTTTTTGTCTAAATTCATTTATAATATGTATAGTGAATGTTCTTTATTAATAATTTCTTAATTGCCTTAAAATTTAAATTCAGCTCTTATTCTTGAATTCTATCCTTATACTATCTGTTATAGAAGTTCAAAAATTAAGTTCTAGCATTTACCATAATGAGATAGTGAAAGTTAAAAAAAAAAAAAAATTCTTATAAGCTCTTGCATTTTGAGTTTTTATGAAACCATTAAAATAACTGGTAAAAATCAAAAAATAAAATAGTATATTATTATTATGGGTTAGATTAAGGATAAAAAAACCAAGTTATTTTCTGATAATAGAGGGACATTCTAACTTCTTATTTTACTTCTAACAGCTTTTAACCTTTTGAGGACGGGGAATCTTGAATGAACCGAATGCTTTCCCCCCTTTAAGAAATCACCACCTATTTGCAACCAAAGATTCTTTTGTGTAGTTTAATGGATTCTCAGAGGGGTGCATCTAGTCGCAAAAGGAAGACCTTTGAAAGAGATAAGTGGTTAAAACCCAAGGACATCAAATTTGACATTTAACCCCACTTTCCAGCCTGGAAAATAGGGGGAAAAGACATGGCTACTAAACTGGACAACCCCGTCTTTTCAGAGAGGAATCTATGACCACTATAATGGCCATCCCGTCTTCAAAAGGTTAAATAAAAACTGATAATTAAAATATGGATAAAGTGTAGAAAATATTATATAACAATTTAATTTCATAAGATTATGTAAGGAAATTAACAGAATAATTTAAAATTTTATATTCAAAGAATAATAAAAATTAAAAACAGGTGCATAAAAAAATACAGTCATTGTCATAAAAACAGACTTTTGCCAACTTGTGACAGTGATTGATAAAATTGCCTCAGTGGCTTGACAAAAACTTTACAATCATTTTTCAGACAAAAAGTACAGTCTCACTATGATAAATTCTAGGATTTTTTGGCAAACCTAGAATTTATCAATTTTGGTCTTTAAATGTAATATATACTTGATGTATCTAAAAAAATTATTAATAAGCTTAAGTACAGAAAGGTCATAATATATTTACTTTAAAATAAGAGATCATATGTGAATGAGTACAGTGTTAGGGTACTGGAATATGCAATGCACATGAGGGCTACTTGCCTATAGAGAGGGATGCTTTTGTGGATTATTTTCTAAGGAAAATTGACTTGTCATATTACACATCAGAAACCATGCAGCCATCTCATTTATCTGGGATCAAGTCTGAGTCAAACTCCCAGTATTCATAATAGTCTTAATCTTTCGACTTGTTGTGGGGCCATACACGAGTGCAAACTTTGAATGAAAGGAATTGAAATGTAATCAAAATTACACTGTGTAAGCAAAATCACTCTCATAACAATGAGACATTGTGATGGTTAAAAATTATTTTGATATTTGAAGATACAAATACAGCTACACGTAAGGATACATTTTACATGGAACAAGGTGAAGGTCAGTCATATCATCAGAAATTTAAAGCCTCCTTGCCCAATACTGTTGCATTTGCTCTGTAGTTTCTTACATTTGAAGTTTGTTCTACTTTAGGATTACTTTACAGAACTTGGATTCCTGCTCATAAATTCCCATATTCCCTTTAAACACTAAGCAAGTCTGTTATGTAGTTTTTTAGTGCAACATATGTAGCTGCAAGTGGTATATGGTGAGTTACCATATACCACTTGCAGCTACATATGTTAGTTAAGTTTTTCTCTGATAAAAGGGCATCTGCATGTTAAAGATTAGGTTTGCGTTTCAATGATTTCCATTTTTTGACTGTTGCTCTAATCTAAAGAGTCCCCAAAATTTTTAACTTAGTTTTCAGCATTTTTTAACCCTTCTCTATATGCCAAAATATGTAGGATTAAAAAGAATTTAAACAATAAAAAACCTGAAAACTCAGATTTTATATTATGCCCAAAGGGGTGTATTTTTTAACGTTTTATGTGTTTCCTTTATTTATTTAATATCATGCTCTTTGCAATAAACCATAAAATTCAATTTAACAGCAATATCGCAAAATAATTGTAGAAGAGCACATCTTTAGAATTTCCGATACACAGTCTCGCGCACTGAAGATAAAAAATGTTTTTCTGTGTGTGAGTATAGTGTTGCCATTGCTCGCTTTGAAATTGTTCAGTTTGTTAATCAAAAATCTGTTAAAGTTTTACAAAATATGAAGTAGATAATAAAACAAATTCCAAATTTGGGCTTTGAGATGCCCATATTCAAGTAGAGGACTACATTATTCAAAATTTGATAGCCCTAGGTACTGTTGTTATTTCACAGTGTGAGAAGCATACATACATTTATGCAGTTTCTTTCATTTAATTTCTTTAAATATGGGCTCTATTATTTGGTGGCAACAATTTGAAAAGTGAAATGCTGTTTATAGCGAACCAATGCAAAATGCCAAAATGAAATTAATAGCCCTTCTGGTCAAATTATCCCTTTGGGCTAAAAACTTTCTTTTCCAGACAAAGAGTGTTCTGTGTATGATTCCCTTCAAAATAGGTAAAAGTTTTACTCAAAGTCTACACCCAGTTAAGGTTGCTCTTTTGCCTAATTTTAAATTTTACATTGCCACATTTCTCTTCCTTCTGTTTTTATATCTTTGAACTTGCTGCCAATTAAATTTAGCAGAACATCAAATTTACAGGCAGAATTATTATAAAAAGTGTAAAATGCTATTATAAACAGTAGTTCATAATTTATATGCAAAATCAGAAATTTCTTTTGATAAATAAATTCAAAAAATGTAAATATGTTAAAAAGGATATAATGTAATATGTTAGGAAAAATGTTTCAAATAAATTTTCTTAAATATCTGGGCTTTTATTTCTTTAATTTTCTATTTATTTAGGCACCACCTGTGAATCGGATATAAATGAATGTTTGTCAGACCCCTGTTTGAATAATGGACTGTGCGAAGACTTGATAAATGACTACATTTGTCATTGTCCTCTCAGTTATACAGGTATGTAAAGTAAGAATTAGTTTAGCATTATTTTTTAATTAAATGTCTTCAGGTTTTAAAATCTGATTATATGTTAATAGTAAAATAATTTCTAGTTTTGTTTATTGGTTTTTATTGAAAAGGTACTGTGCATTACAAATTGTTAGAATTAATCCATTACTTGGAATTGTGAAAATCTCATTTTCAGTGGTTGATTTCGTATTGCAAATGTATTTCTGAAATTATGTGCAATTTATATCATTGCATGGAGTAGCTTTTTCCACCCTGCTAGTTATATTTATGTTTATGAATTTTTCTGCTTTTATATTAATAAATACATATTCCTCTGTCCCGTAATCATAGCAGTTGATGAATTTAATTTGTTTCATAATAATAATCACAAAAGGAAATTAATATAGATGCAACATTTATCAAAAAATCAGATGAAATTAAATAATAAATTAAAAATATTACTCCTAATTTTTATTTTGAATATTCAGATACTTTTTGGATTTTTGAATAGTTTTGTTACTGCATTTTAAACTTGTGGGCAGGATTCTTTGGCTGTGAAGCTTAAAATTATTAGAGCCATAGTTCTTCAGGCTTCTAGCATAACTTGTTGAAGTGACAGAAACGTATTATCCAGTGTTTCGGGAAAAATGCTCTCAAAGTCTGTGTTTACTGCTTCTGTGACGTCTCTTCTTCTAAGAAGAGTATGACTAAGTTTTACAAGTTTTTCTTCATAACCTTTCCATCTATGAACACAGTTTTGTTTTTTTTTTCAAAGAATCAGCATTAGCATATGGTTCATCTTGACAAATATTTTCAGAAGCAAGTTTTCAAACTCTTGATATGATCATTCTGTTGCACTTAAATTGCTTTGCAGCTAACATAATTGCACCTTTCTGCAGTTTTTTGTTGTTCTTTTGATGCATCAATAATTGGATTATCACAGCTCTATCTTTGATCAAAAACTCTCTTTTTTCATCTTACTTTTTACAACGGGTTGATATTCAGGTGAAATAAAATAATTAATTTCGATCAGCGGATAAAATTAGAAAAATAAGTTATTTCTAATGATTAGGTTAATCTAAAAATTAAAAGATGTGCCAAAACAAATGACTAATACCATAAAATATTGATTTTGATCAAAAGCTTCACAGTTTTGTGCTACAACATAACTTTCAGCTGCATTGACCAATGATTACTATTTAAATATTCACTTGCTACTATTATCATGGACAGAGGAAGTATATGGTTGTAACGAGAGTTTTTCACCAAAAAATTTTCTTAATAAAGTTAGAAAAAAACGCAAAAGCAGTACCTATAGTGCAGGTAGTAATCACTATCCAAATCTATGATTTTCTGCCAACATTTTGGTAGTTTTTCAAAGCCTTCAACTCAGAAACTTGGTGGCCATGAGTCCAAAAACAGATCAACCTCATTTTGGGCATCTTGTACAGAATCGAACATAGCACTGGCAACATGTAGCTGCAAGTGGTGTGAAAAAAAGGTGGAAGTATGATAGAGCAATGTCAAAGCTATATGGTGGGTGTGGCAAAAAATCCCATTCAAGTTTGTATAAAGTCGAGGTGATGAATGCAGGCACATGTGATCTTGCATTACCTTGATAGAACATTCCTTTTTATGTGCTGGAACTCACTTCAATGTTTTTCCTTGAGAGCACTGTCAACATGGACTGGCACCTCACTGTATACTTTACTGTGGAGGGTTTTATCTTTTTTTCCAGATAGATACTCTTTGTGGATAATACCATGGCAATCTTATCAGATACAAAGCATGATCATATTGTTTGTCAAATTTTGCTTTGTGACACTGCCAATGGCCTCACTGGGTGTAGACCAATCCTCTTTTCAACCTGTATTGTTGAAGTAAATTCACTTTTTTTACGAGTGATGATCCGGTTCAGAATTTTGGCCTTTGCTGATATTCAAGCAGATTAATGCAGGCGAAAACACATCTGTCCTTGTCTGCTTGAGTCAGCTCATGCGGCATGCAATGATTGAACTTGTACGTCAAGTTTATGCGATGCATAGCACGACTAATGGACATGTCACTAGTGTCTAACTCCTTGGCAAGCTCTCAAGTGGTTACATACTGATCTTCTTCCTCAAGTTCTCACAGGTGGTCCTCATCAACGTCAGTAGGCCAGCCAGAACACTTTGCTTCTTGAATGTCATAGTCCTTGTTTTTTAACTTTCAGTATCTAACCTTCACAGTGTTGTATGATACAACATTAGTATCTAAATTAGTAAAGATGATTTGGTGACATTCTGTAGCTGACTTTTTGCAACAGAACTGGAAGCAAATCATGATTCTAATCTAGTAGTATGATAGTTCCATTTCAGACCTCTTGTACTTAATAATAACGATATATTTTTACAAATTTCAAAACATAATGTTTTAAAGCAAGTCTCTTTCTTTCAAATGCCAAAATCATTTAGCAAAATATCATTAAACACATGAACGTAAACTGTTCATGCAGATGATATTTGCGGTGGTGGAAAGCTTTCATTAAAACCCATTATTTTTTAGTAAATGTATATAATAAAAAATTTTTAAATATTTTGTTAAAAATAGAAAATAAATCAAGGTTTTTTTTTTAATTAAGTTTAAAGAAGTTGTTTGCATAAATAGAGAAAATGCTCATTCTATGTAAATGAAAGTTAAAATTTTATCTGAAGTATAATTATCCTACTTATATTTTAAATCATTTATAAAATGATTTAAAATATAAGTACAATATAAAATTTTCCATACCTGTTAATTGGCTTAAATTTTTCATCATTTGGAAAACTTTCAATTAAGTACAGAACATTAAACCCTTCAAATCCTTCAAATCTTTTTCAAGATTTGAGATTAAAAAGCTTAAATTTCTATATATTTTTGGGTACTCATCTGTTATCAGGACTGGATTCAGAAGTGTTGCATGTATATATGTACATACGTGTGTATGTCTGTGTGTACACACACAATATACATGAACACCTGCATACATATGTACATTTTTTTTACTCTCGATAACAGAAGACTACCTATTTTTGTCATTCAAATTGATTGAATCCTAACCTAGAAAAGACTCGAATGTTTAAACTCGAAATTTTGCAAAAATTAGTCTTATTGACAACCTATAGAATCATTAAAAAAATATGTCATTCTTTAAAAATATATATAATTGTTGTAATTCAGTTATGTTCGGATTATCCATATTATTTTATGGATTACCTCTCTTACTGTTTCAGCATTGTAACAGCTTTAATATCGTTATTAATCTCTCGTGCATTTGAAATAGATGAATAATAAATAATGTACAGATTACTGGCAATATTGAAATGCAGGCTCGAGAGCTGCATGCATTTTCTCGCAGGAAGCATGTAAATATTTTTTTGCTGTGTTCCATCTTGGAGTTGCTTCATATCGCCGAAGAAGTATCACAGTCATAATTATTTTGGAGGCACCGACCGAGATCGAATAATCGTGCGTATTTTTATTTTAATAGTTCATCACTGAACAGAATATTAGTGATACCAGGTTATTACTTCCTGTTGATATTGAATTGTCTTATTTTATTAGTTCATCACTGAACGTAATATTAGTGAAACCAGATCATTACTTCCTGTTGATATTAAATTGCCTTATTTTATTAGTTCATCACTGAACGTAACTTCCTGTTGATATTGAATTGTCTTATTTTATTAGTTCATCACTGAACGTAATATTAGTGAAACCAGATCATTACTTCCTGTTGATATTAAATTGCCTTATTTTATTAGTTCATCACTGAACGTAACTTCCTGTTGATATTGAATTGTCTTATTTTATTAGTTCATCACTGAACGTATTATTAGTGAAACCAGAGCATTACTTCCTGTTGGTATTAAATTGCCTTATTTTACTAGTTCATCACTGAAAGTAACTTCCTGTTGATATTGAATTGTCTTATTTTATTAGTTCATCACTGAACATAATATTAGTGATATTAGGTTATTACTTCCTGTTAACACTGAACTGTCTTATTTTATTAGTTTATCACTTGAACGTAAACTTAGTGATACCATTTTAATGCCGTCTCTAGTAGAGCTCAAAGGAAAAGAAAAATAGCTGAAGAGAAGATCTTGGAACCGATGAAGGAAGAAAATAAAGCATTCAAAGATATCTTTGAAGAAGAAGTTAAATCACCGGAATTAAAGGTGGAAGATTTTCACGAAAATTTGAAAAACGATAAAGAAATTAATATTGAGAATCATTTTGCAATGCAACGTTATCATCATCTTTCGGCTTTCGATTTAATATCAAAGCCGCTAGTAATATACGAAGAAAACAATTGTCGAAAACAAAAGAAAATTGAATATTATCCGAAAGGCACAAATGAACTGAGGAAAGGCTTTGTTGTGAATTATAGCCGAAGAACTGATCCAACATGGAAGAGATCTAGGCACCGTCAAAAAAAAAAAAAAAAAAGGGGGGGGAAAGACTAATTTGAACACTATCCATTTTCTTCCTATTTAAATGTGGTGTAAAAATCTTTTTTTAAAACTTAAAAATTTTGACCTGAAGTTTGGAAATTTATCATAGAAGTTACCTTTTCTCTTTAAGCAATTGAGCAAGCCGAGCTTATTAAACTGTCAAATTTTACAGAACTTTTCCCTTCGGAAAAAGTCTCTCCATTGGGGGAGAGGTTGTAACAGCTTTAATATCGTTATTAATCTCTCGTGCATTTGAAATAGATGAATAATAAATAATGTACAGATTACTGGCAATATTGAAATGCAGGCTCGAGAGCTGCATGCATTTTCTTGCAGGAAGCATGTAAATATTTTTTTTTAAATAAGTTTATAGAATATGTTTTCTCTTCTTGTTTGTATGTCGCCAATTTTTTGAGTGTTAAATAAAAGTTATTGCTGTGTTCCATCATTGGAGTTGCTTCATATCGCCGAAAAAGTATCACAGCATGCTATCTAACAAAACTGCCAAAATTTTCTAATTATTAGTGACCTGTGCTTTTTTGAAATTTCTCAGAACAAACTAATGAACTACAGTACAAAGTCCGTAATCCGGACGTCCGTTATCCGGAATGATCTATAATCCGGACCTCAAAAGCAGCAAACTTTTTTTTGTATGCTTTACACATGCGCTTAAAGAATGTGCGCGTATACATTATGCAAGCACATAGTGTATGCTTTACGCATGCGCATGTTGAAAGAAATGTTTAAAAGTAAACAAATAAATATTAAGCTTTTTTTTTTTAATTTGATACCTGTAGATCATAATTGCTCTTTATTTCATAAATTACAGTTTCATATTTTTAATTGTATAATTTCTGCATGCCATCTTACCAGATATAAATTGATGACCTATAATTGGAAAAACCCCTAATCCGGAATCGCCGAAGTCCCGACGAGTCCGGATTACGGACTTTGTACTGCATACTGTTAATTCTGAAGAAAAATAATCCACTATTAATAGGTTCTGAATATGTGTCTAGCAACTCATACATGTAAACTCTGCATCACCCATATGATACTAGGTGTCTATCAGTTGAAATACTGAAGCATATCTTTCCCTCTGTGCTACTTGGTTTGATGCTGTATGTTTTTAGTTCTTGTGTGTCCTCAATATCACACTGATGTATTCCATTTCAAATTAAATGTATGAGCAATGAAAACCTTGAATAAGCCAAATCAACACTGATACATGATCTTCAACTTGAATCTAGAACATAGAAATACCACCTAAATATCACTATGCAAATATAAAGTAGACCATTATGATCAGTTTAGAATATTTACTTGCAAACTTAATATTCTCACTTGCAGCACCAATCCTAGACTGGTGGTCACCCATGTTCAAATTAAAATTGGCTGCCCTTTTCTACAGAAATATGTTTGATAATCATTTCACTGTCCTTAAATTTGCTGTGCACCATCTTTCCCCCCTGCTCACTTGCATTGAGCCTGCTCACTTGACATAATCATCTACCAGCAATGAGTTCAATTGCAGTTTCTTTTCTGAATGAGAAGTAAATGCCAACTCAGCAGATCTATTGCTTTCACTATTTGTAGATATAAGTTTCATTCAAATGAAAGTGGCGTTGCTGTAACAACTCCACCATTTAAAGAGAAAGATGACTCATCATGCCCCTATAGAGGGCGCAGAGTGCTGGGAGTGCATGCGATATTGTCAGGTCCTACCAGATGCATGTGTAGTAGCAACTGAGCACATTATTTGCATCATGGCAGCTTCTAATTCGTGTCAACACGCGGCCGTGCAATTTTTAACAGTGGAAAATGCGAGTCCCTGTAAAATCTATCGTCGAATGCAAAATGTGTATGGCATGTAGTGTATCAAATGCAAATTGGTATTTCAATGGAGTAGGGATTTTCGTAGTGGAAGAAACAGTATTGACAACAGGCCACAACCTGGTCAAGTGCATGTGGTGATCACCCAGGAAGCAGTTACAGATGTGGATCGTCTCGTGAAAATAAATCTTCGAATCACCACTCGAGAAATAGCAGAGGAAATGTCTATGTGCATAGGGAGTGTGCACACAATACTGTGTGGAAGACTGTGATACTGCAAGGTTTGTGCACAAAAGAGCAGAAACCTTTGACAGAGAAGCAGAAATTCATCACATATCTGTTTTCATGCAACACCTATGGGGAACCAATTCCTTTCAAGGATCATTGCCTCTGATGAAACATGGTGTCATCACTTTGATTCAGCCACCAAAAGCATGAGCATGGAGTGGTAACACTCTTCCTCCCACGCCCAAAGAAAGCTCGCACATCCACTAGAGACGTCATGTTAATGTGCTTCTTTGATGTCGATGGCCTATTACTGTTGAAATGTCTACCTATGGGCGCAACTGTCACTGCTGCCACGCACTGTGCCACATTGCAGAATCTGACACAAAATACCAAGACCCAATGACGTGGCATGCTGTCACGCAGGGCTATCCTCTTGCATGATAATGCTTGTCCTCGTGTGGCTGTGGTGGGCCAAACATTGTTACAGCAATTCTGCTGGGAGGTTCTCGAACATCCCCCTTACAACCTGGACTTCTCCCATGTGACTACCACATCTTCAGTCCACTCAAAAAATATCTGAAGGGACAGCAATTTGCCGACGATAATGAGGTCCAAGCTGTTGTTTTCTTTTGCTATTAATATTGTTAAACCATTTCTCAAACCAACCGTAGTGCCACTTTCATTTGAACAGCCATTTATCTTTAACCCCTTGCTTGGGGAGACCCTTGCTGTCGCCCCAAGCCCCAATATGTCAGAACCCTTGCTTTCTGACATATTTCAGGAAAGTGTGTCAGAAATGGAATATGTTTTTCACTCTTTCAGTCCTGATAAATGCCAATTCTACCAAACTTGAAATAAATATGGAACAAGTATCGCTGTATTTTGATTAACAGTGAATTAGATTTCATTAACCGTTTAATCAATGAAAACAAACTCATTTCAGACTTCATGAAATTGAAACACTAAACTCCTGCCAGTTAGTTTAGGCATTCCTAGTTTGGCACAGTTGGGTTTCTAGAATTGGACTCATGTAATACTGTTTAGAAAACCCGACAAAAAAAATATCAAAATTTGAAAAACTTTCTGAAAAATTCTTTAACATATCACGATCGATAGGAATCTCAGAAAGACTATTTAGCACATCAGGTAAATGAAGCAAGTTGGATGCAGACTGAATTTGAATGCTAGCTTTCATAAATAAAAATCTCCATTAAGAATTTTTGCCTTTTAAAATTGTACTATTAGGGATCATTATTTAGTATTTTTATAAATTCTTAAAATAAACATGTTCCCCCCCTTAATTTTCTAGAGGATATATTTCATTTCATGTTTAATTTTTATATATGTTAACAATTCAAATAATTCTCTCTCAATCTAAACTTACTTTGATTTAAAAAGTACTGGAATTGTTACTCAAAAGTTTTTTTATCAAGTAATTTTGAGAAAAAGTACTTTGAGATGTGAGAGTTTTAAAATATATGTTTTGTATGCTAAATTTCTCAGTATATTGTTAATAAATGTTTATAAAAAGTGTATTTTAAAATCCATTTTTCATTAAACACAGTTTCATATTTAGCTTTAATTAAAAACTTTCAGTATTAAGTAAAAGTGATAAAATTATTATTATCATTAAATGAAGCTTTCAAGAATTTTTTAGGATTCAGACTTTTAAAAGAACTGTGGTATTTGTCTCATCTCTATGTTAAAGTGTAATTATTTGGATTTTTAAAAAAAAGTAGGAAAGAGGCAATATTTTATTCATGTAAAATTAGGGATGGTAAACATAAAATTTTCAAATTATATGCCTTTTTTTAATTCATAATACTGTTATTTAAAGCGAATAAATGAAAACAATATACTTTGACAATAAACTATACAAAAAAAGAAGTTGAATAAAAATCAAGTATTTCTTTTCTCTTTTTTCTTTCATTCTTATTATATATAAATATTCAGGATATGTTCTTGCCATAACTGTGATGCATATCTTTACATTTATGATGTGAACTGCTTAAAAAAGGCAGGGATAAAAAAATATATATACCTGATGTTCTAAAGAAGGAACTTTTTTTAAATAAAAAAATTTATTTTAAGTCTTTCTTTAGGTTTTAAGTTTGAAACTCATTATTTTTAACATTTAAAATACTCAATATTTGTATAAGATTCAAATAATTCAGTTAATTTGAATAGTTTTATCCTTAAAATGTTATAATTAAAGCAATTTGTTTAGCCCTTTACTGTTTCCTTTCTGCTACTTTGTTGTAATCAGCTGTTCTTATTTATATAAATGTTAAACTTTATTGTGGCTGATTTTTAACTCAGTTTTTACAAAATATCTCTGATTTTATCATATTTTTCTGTTTTATCATATTTTTCTATTTTGAAGAATTATATGATATAAATACCTTTCCAGGTATTAACTGTGAGCATTACTTTAATGTGTGTGCAGTGGAAAGCAGCATATGTAAAAATGGAGGAACTTGTTTACTGGGCCCCAATAATACTACAAGTTGTAGGTAAGGTTCTTTTCTTCAAATACCAATTTTCCATTTTTTTTTTTTTTTTTTTTTTGTTTGTTCCTTTTTTATCATAAGTATTTTTTTTTAACTTCCCTATAAAACTACTTATTTTGTATAATTCCATGTATTTTATTATTATATTGCTTCTTTAAAAGAACTTACTATTGATTAATATTCTTACATATTATTAGAATGTAATCTTATGGAAAATTTGGTACTTTCTGATTATCTGAACTGCCATTAAAAGGTGCCATATCATTGCTAACTTTCTGAATTGGCAAGAAATGTTTGTTTGGCTCTCTTTATTTTTCATGAATAGTGTTCTTTTCACAAATACAGTAAAAACTTGACAATCCAGAAAACTTGAGAAATGGCCAAATGCTGGAAACATGAAAATCCTGGATTGTTGAGCATATGAAAATTGTAATTTATTCTAGGAAATCAAATGAATGGAAGTAAGTTCCGGTCAAAAATTATAAAAACAATCATCTTTTTTGTTGTAAATTTTATCAAAAAATCTACATTTTAAAATTATGCAAGATTTTGAAAAAAAATTGCATTTCAGAAATAAAAGCCTGAAAGCTAACAGAGATGTCACTAAACTTGTACAAGTTATTTTGACAAAAGTGTAAAGAAACAGATTGTTCTTTATCTAGTTAGATAATTAACAGATACAAGACACATACAGTATATAAAAAAAAATTAAACTGCCTATCATAATTTTTCATATTGCACCAGCATTGTTTATCTGTTTTCAAATAAAATTACAAATCTTGTCCATTAAAGCACATTTTACTTGGTGCTGGTCACACATTTAATCGCATTTTTCTTGGTCAATACATTGCTGTAAACTGTTGTATAGAAGGCAAATCCCAAATTTTAATTATTTTTTTCAAAATGCAAAGGAATAGTAGATAAACAGCAGCTAACTTTATCCTCCTTTTCAAAAACCTGAACTGCCTTATTGAAAATTAATCAGGTTTACATAAAACCAAAGCATTTTATTGTGTTGTGATGTCTTGCTAGCCCATTATTAGTGCTAAATCATACTGTTTGGCAAATACTACATAATGACATCACGAGTCTCTCATTTGCTTAATTTTGGGGAAAAAGTTCTGAAATTCAAAAATATTCCAATTAATTGAATTCTGGGAATGTATTTTACTGTCTTGTCAATTCTGGGAATTGTACTTTTACTGGAATTATAAAAGGACATATTTCATAAGAGACAAATTTTGTGAGACAAAAATGAAAATTTAAATGGCCAACATAGACATTTCTGCAGCTGTTATTAGTGTTCACCATTGGCCTTTGAAGTATTTTACTATTCAACAAAACACTATATGTCTGAAAATAATCCAACATGTTCTGTCTAATCAATTGATAAATTCTTCGGTTTTATTATGATTCATAGTGATATAGAAAAATGCACTTGGTAGTGAGGAATGCGGATCTATAAAATGATAATTTAACTATAAAGTGTGTAAATATGTTTGTACTTCAATGCTTGTGTGGTATGTGCATTCATGAGGTAGCTGTTATCACATATATGCTTAAAAATACACCAAAAGTACAACAGTTTTAAATGTTGAAACTGGGGAGGAAGAGATAACCAGAAAGTACAAAACATTTTATGATGTACTATATGTAAATTATAAGATTATGAAAAAAAATTTAAGTAACATTTCAAGTATTGTTAATATTTCTTGTTTTTTTAGAGGAAATTATTATAAATTATTTATTTAGTTATTTTTATCTATGTTATACAAAGCTGCCCTCCAAATTTCTTTGGAGAAAAATGTGAGCTTCCAGTTTGTCCATGTGAAAGAGGTGGAATATGTATTGGAGAACCTGATTTTAGTTGTTTATGTCCATTTGGTAAGATAAATTATTGTCAGTTTTAAGCATTCAATGTTTTCTTTGCTTATTTTTTTTTCTTTGAAAGAAATAAGATTTTAGAAATTTAAAGAATGTTTGGGGGGCCTGACTAAAACATGGGGCTCTAAAGATCTTTTGAGCTCAGATGCAATCAGTAATTTGATATCAAATTACTCCATCATTTTATGAAGACCTGCTCTCTTTGTTTTGAAATGTCATTAAATTTGTACATTAAAGTCATGAAATTTACCTTTTTAAAAATATTTTAATAGAATGTGTTTTAGTTGAATTGGTATTTGCTTTATTTGCCCGATATAATTCTGAATAATATACTGTATTGTTAAACATAAAAATCAGAGTCTACTGATCTACACAGCTTTTACAAATCTACAATTTGTAAAAGCTGCGTTTGCATTTGCCCACCTGTTACTGTGTTTCCTAACGTGTACTTTATTCTTTTCATCGATAGATACTAGTATATCTGCAAAGTCCTGAATCCTGTTAGTGTAGTGAAATTCAGTCTAGTGGTGGTTGAGTAATGATTCACACAGTGTGAAAAGCACAATGAAGTTATATCTGAAACTCTTAATGATATACTTATGTGCATAGAAATTTCATGTAAAAATCATCCTTATTTTCTCAAATGCAAGCCATCCCAGATGTTATGGTAGTTGACTGATTGCCAAACTTTTAGGCTTAAACTTGAATCCTGGTTAAGACATGGACATTTGTAAATATACTGCCTTTACGGAATCGAAACAGTCTATTAATGTGAAACTCTTTTGAAGATATTGGTTATTGAAGAAAGATAAGAAAACCTCAGATTCCATTTCCTAAAATGCTCTCATTCAAAAACTGGGATAAGAAATAGGCATATAATCCTCATCTTCTTTGTCATAAATAAATAATTCATTTCTTATGAAGTGAAGAATTGAATCCAGCCATTGCTAAGTGAAAAGAAATCATGACTAAAATAAATGAAAGGAAATGCATGAAGAATTCTATATTCAATTGATTATACTGTATTAACATGTTCTAGTAATTATAACTTTTGAATGGGTATTAAGCAAGTGGCATTATCAACAAGAGCAAAATAATTGAAATTGAATAGTATATTAAATTATATCTTCTTCAAGAGTTAACTATTATTGGACATAAGTTAGATTTTTAAGACATTTAGCTAATGTAATCTACAGAAAGAATACATATTGGCATAGTGTCAGTTTTGGGTTAGGTTAGATTATTGAAATGTGGCAAAGCATCTGCGGGATATCTACCTTGGGGAAGGGATGTCTTTGTGGAGACCTTAGAGGAGGGATCTTTGTGGAGATAGATCTAAGGAAAATTGGCTTCTATTTACATTACATATAGCGAAAACCATACAACCAGTCCATTTCATTTGGGTTCAAACTCGTATTGAACTACCATGGCCACTAGTGGGGGACCTGTGTTAGTTGTGGGCAGGTAGCATATGCACTGAAACAATCATTTTTGGTTTTATTATTTACTTGTTAGTAGATGCTGCTTTAAGATATTTGATAAATCTTTGAAGCTGATCATGATGAAATGTGGAAAGCCATTAATTAAAGAGCATGCAAAGATAGTTCTGGTATTTTGGTGCTTGATTTTCTAAAACCTAAAAAACTTACAGCAATAATTATTTTATATATGATTACAATAATTATTTATAAAATATCTTTTTCCTTTTTTTTTTTTCTAAATGATCATAAGTATCCTCAGTCATTTTACAAAATCAAATTTATGTACATCGAAAGACAAGAGTTAAAAAATTATTTGATTTTTATAGTTTAACTAACATTGGTAAAGGTTTTATTAGCGTTCAAGTAATATACTTGATTGCTCTCTTTTATAATTAAGGTTGGACTGGGAAAACATGTGAAACTGAACTTGAAACATGTGATCCAGATGTTTGCAATGGTGGTTTGTGTCTTTTGGATACTTATGCTGATCAGAATGCTACTACCAATGTTACTTGTTTCTGTATTCCTGATTATCACGGAAAATTCTGTGAACTACAATATAATGAATGTATACCAAAACCATCATGCTCAAATGGCGCTACTTGTGTTGATGATATTGATGGATATTCATGCATTTGTCCTACAGGATTTATAGGTAATAATCCTTTAGCTGTAACTGCAGTTTTAACTTAATATGTTTACACCCCTGTATACTATTATTCAATGTAATTCTACAACTTGCATAATCACTGCATGTTTATATATTTAAGATATTTTGTATACATAAATATATTTAGTGATTTTGTTACTTATGTTTACATTGGATTCTGTAAAATCTTCAATTAACAGTTCAATAACATGGACATATTTGAGTAAATGTTGCATTCTAAAAAAAAATTGCCAACAGTTATTCAAATCTCTAAAATGTAATGGTGAATTTGAGAAATAATTTTGATAAGATTGTAGAGACATTAGGATTTTTGAAGCAGGAAACACGAGAAATGAGCAATGCCATCGCAGGGACTCGAACCATAAGCGGCAAGCATGCTGACCATTACACCACAAAGGTAGGCTAAGAAGGCGGGAAAAATACCATATAAAATTTCAATCCATTTATCTTTTTATGTTCTTTTTATCTATATATAAATAGTTTTTTACTATGCATTACATTTTTTTAATAAAGATTTTTATTTCTACTAAATGAAATCTACAAGATATGTTTCATCTTAAATTTTGATCGCCATAGTTGCTTACTTTTTATTCTAGGTTATTAAATTTTAAAATTTTGGGCTTTCATTTGGCAATTATATATAATTATTGCCTCTCCAGGTCAATGAATGACTTTTAGTAGAAAGTGAACGAGTTCTCTGTATTTGTATAGGCAATTTTGGTTCTCATTTGAAAGTACACAATTGTGGGTGATAATATATTATGTGTGACTTGGATTGCCAAAGCTCATTTAACTGTTAGACAAAATAGATAAGGAAAAAGATAATGAAGATTGAGAGGAAGGTAAGATATTCTCAAAAATATAGAAAATACAGATAAACAGAAATGAAAAGTCAGCAGGAGGACCTCTTGATACTAACCATAATAGAGTGAATCCATCCCAGAAAACAAATTCCTTTTCTACTTCAAGGAAGCTTATAAAAATGAATTTATTCTTAATAAATATTGTCATTGTGTAATAAATATGTCATGACAAATGTTTTATCTGTAATTTATAACAATAAATTTGTTATCTCATGAGTTTTATAAAGGGTTAACATTAGTATATTTTTTCTAACCTTTAATAGTTAATTCAGGTTAAATGCTAACATTTGTGTTAATGGTCATGAATGTCTGTTCCTGATAGCAGGACTGTGATACATATTACTGATGGTACTGATGATGAGGATTAATACCGATTTAAATTATTATCAGTTGTCTTGGTTGTCAATCTCTGTAATTTCACTAAGAGAATTTTTAACTTTTTATCTTAGGTGGTTGTTTGTCTTTATTAACTTTTTAACATTGTGAATGCATTGATTTTATATTTATTATAGTTACTAGATGTTTATGACATTAAGATATAATCTCTAATTATTATATATTTACGATTCAGGTATTATATTGTTTTTATTTTCAAAATGTTTTCCTTGTTACTTCTAAAATATGCAGAAGTTTTGTATATAGGAATTTTCCCCAGCATTTACAATTTTTATCATGTAAAATATCATTTGACTTCAAAAATGGAAATATAATGACAAGTATATAATTTATTTTGCATTTAAGAATTTTTTAATAAGCTTTCATCATTTCTTTTAATTGAATAATGCATGAAGCAATAATAAGTTTCAGATCATTGAATTTCAAAATTATTAAAAATGTTTTTATCCCTATGCATTATTTAACTTTTATTTAGATTATAAAAATTCTCATCAATTTAAAAACTAACACTGGAATTTTTATAATACCTCCCTTCTCTAATACATTCATAAAAAGGTGGTGGAAATTTTAAGCATATGAATTTTTTTATAACCATGTTTATTTTTAAATGAAACTTTCAGGAGGAACCCCAAATAGTGATTGTTTGCTGTTTGGTAATTTTTTTACCAACTTCTAGTGTTGTGGCTAAATTTTCTGTTTGGGTGCTATCTTATTTTCATGGCTCAGTTTTTAAATGCTAAGTTGACTTCAGGTTTACGGTCAAGGTCATGTTTACTTCAAACATACACTTCGTGGTTTTCATGTTTTCATGAGTGCTTTTAATATGGCATCAGAAGCTTTTCCTCACCCCAAGGTCTTTTACCACATGAACTCTGCAAAATAATATTCATGATGATGATATGTGCCTCACTGATTTTTATTCAGCTATTTAGTAGAATGCCACAGTCTTTTATGTATAAACCATTTCCTTTATCTTCATTTTGTTGGATCAACAAAATAAAATTTATTGTCACTGTAAAATGTCTCTAACCTGCTTTTTCTGGTTCATCTGCTTTATTTTCTTGCCAACAGTTTGAATAAATTATCAGTCCTGCTTGTACATGATCAATAATTTTTGCTATTAGTGTACTTGCCTTTTTGTTCGGAACCTGAACGAGAAAGACTTTATCGGTTTTTTAGTATAATCTGCCAAATATCCCGAATTGTGGAAGAACCTTGCTGGCCTTGTTTTTCCTGATACAAGCATATTTTGATTTATGTCTGCAATTTTTTCAAAGCCACCTATTTGCTTATTTGGTTATCAGATTCGCTGTAAAGAATGCACATTTTTTATAAAACAGTTCTAATAAATAGTTGTATTTTCATTAAGGCTGAATTACTTCTCCTGCCACTTAATTGATGTCAGTTTTTTTGCCTAACTATGCATAAATCATTATGCTGTTACAAACAGTATTCTGAAACAAGTGAATCAGTTATCAAAATATATGCTTTCCCTTCACTTACAACTTTTGCTAATGCACCTCCAGATACTTACATTAATATGTAGTTTCATGTAATGACATTTTTATATGTTTGAATGTGAGTTAAATGTGTCTTTCTTGGAAGAAAGATATAGCATCTTCCTCATTTCAGGGTAAATCAAACATTTAACTATTTATTTATTTATTTATTTGAAATGAAAATATATTTAACATGGGAAATGCTCAGAGCTCTTTTCATGATCAGAAAATTATGAATTGTTAACATTTGTATGAAAACAGAAAATGCAACAACATCTGTGTACTTAGAGCTGTTTTCATTACAAGCAAACTATAAATGATCAGAGTTATCAGTGCAGGTCATTCAATAATAGTTTGCATCAGCAATTTATCTGTAAACTCTGCGCCATTTACAAAAGGAGCACAGCCATAACAAGAAAATGCCTTTTAATGCTGTATTTGTAGCATTTCTTTACCTATTCAAGATTTGTTTATTAAAAAACTGTTTACTATATATAATTTGATCTGAAACATGTTATCAATTTTTATTTCAGGCTCAACCTGCAATGAATCATTTGTGTGTTATGGAGATGACTGTATAATCACTCTTTTAAAACCATCACTGACACTGCCAGCATATTCTTTCACTAATGTTCAGAGTTCTGACCTAGATATTTCATCTACAGGAAACCCACATTATGTTCCATCATTTCCATCAACTTCACTTGATATTCATCTGTATCCCTCTACAAATCCATTACTCATAAAAACATCTGTTGTTAAGAAAAGTGTTATTGAAAGAACAATATCTCTTACTGATATCAATAGAGAAAAATTTACTTTAAATTCTGAACTTTCTAATGACTTTCATTCATCGGAAACTTTTGCACATAGTCAAATATCTCTTTTTGTGTCAAATGAAATGGTAATTCCAACTGCTCCAGTACTGATGCCAACAGCTATGCCATCTATAGAACCAACGAAATTGTTACCTACATTTCATGCACTAAAAGAAAATATAAATTCATCTGAATATAATTTGCCAAATACCTTTTCAAACTGGAATATGAAAACAACAACTGAAATTGTGTCAAATAGAGTATATTCTAGTCCAAATCATCTTACATTACTTGATACACCAAAGCCATTTGAATTTTCTTCATTTATGTCAAACACAGGTGTGTATGAAAATATTTCTAAGAAATAATTTAATTATTTAAAGAATTCATGCATAATTAAGCTATAGCTTAAAATAATATGAAGTATCATAATCGTGATTTTTATTGATATCTTCATGTTCAGTATTTTATTTTATTAAAAGAAAATCACTATTAGAAGTGTTTGGGTATTGATAAAAAAATATAAATATCATAAATGTAAATAGAATCTCTAAAATATTTTTCTGTCACAAATAAATATTATCTGGTTTATTATGCTCAAATTGTATATTAAGTTTTACTCATAGTCTCATAGTGTATTCAATCCATATTCTATTAACCTATAGTAGAGATACTTGCTTAAATTATATGTATACACTGCTGGCCATTAAAATTGCAGCACATGAAGGAAGAGAAATACAAAAAAATATTAATTATTGTACATAAACAGTATGACATGAAGACAAAATGATTAAATTTGTAAGCAGTTTGGAGTTTATGGGAGTGCGAAAGTAGTAGAAACAGCTGCCACCCCGGGCAACTAAAACAGCCCTTACCCAATTAGGCATGGAGTTGAACTGGGGTTGGATAGCAGGAATGCGTAACTCATTCCATGCTGCTTCAAGTCTGTGCCACATTTCATCAACCGTATTAGCTTGAGCTATAGCTTAAATAATATGATTAATAAGCTAATATGATTAATAATTAAATAATATGATTAATAAGCTATAGCTTAAATAATACCATTCAGTGAGCCAGTCTCTCAGCAGCCCATATCCAGATGTTTTCAATGGATGACAAATCTGGAAATCGTGCAAGCCAGGGCAGCAGTTGAATATTTTTTGTATCGAGGAAGGTCAGAAGGCAACGCACAACATGTGATCTTGCATTATCTTGTTGGAAGATGGCATTTGGCAGGCCTCAAAGATAGACCACAACCACTAAGTGTAACATGTCAGAAATGTACCGATCTGCGTTCAAATTACTGTCTATCGGAACTAGAGATGTGCATGTCGTGTACCCAATGGCTTCCCAAACCATCATACCAGGTGCAGGGCCCCTATGTCGATATAGAATGCAAACAGGTGACATGTAGTCTCCTCGGAGCCTCCAGACACATATGTGGCCATCAGAATACTGCATGCAAAACCGGGACTCATCTGAAAAGACGATATTGTGGCACTCCTGTATCCGACTTTGTCATTTGACACATTAGAGTTGCTGTCTCTCTCTGTATGCTGCATTTTTAAGGGAAGCCAAAGTAATGGTTGCTTTGCTTATAGTCCACACTGCTGCAAACATCGACACACTGTACGAGTGGATACTGGGCATGCTGCAAACATGCCCATTTCCTGACTAATGGTCCATGATATGGTTTTACGGTTTTGCAGTGCTGGTCTCACAATATGTCTGTCCTCTTGAGCATTGGTCATAGGAGGGCATTGAGATCTTGCATGCCATTCAGTATGACCCTCGGTAACCCATTGATTCTATATTCGCTTGACAGTAGTTGGATTTTGACCAGTGAAACAAGCAATATCACAGCACGATAATCCACACTCTCGATAGGCAATGATCCTGCCTGTATCAAATTCCGACATTTGCTGGTAAGCATTTTTCTTATTAGAGTTTATCCCTCCTGTGTCATCTAAATGTGATGAAATACTAATTGTTTGCATAGCCCAACCTCTTCTTCCTTTCAGTTGATTTTGATATTCGTCAGATCATTCCTTCCTGGTGTTGCAATTTTAATGGCCAGCAGTGTATATAAATTTCAAAGACATGAAATTTTTAATATTGGTATTGTTACTAAATGCTTTTTGAAAGTTGAATCAATATGAGATAGTAAGTTTTACTTTAACTGATGTAGCATATAATGAAGTTTTGAACATAATAAAAAGTAAGAGTGTTATATCTGACATATTTAGGTACTTTCTGATCATCTGCACCCCACTAAAAAGTGGGTACTTGTTGGCGATTTTCAAGATAAACATTTGTTTGGGTATGTTTATGTCTGTTTCAGCCATGTATTCAATGCTGCCAAATTTACATTCTGCTTTTTTCCATGCATGGCATGCACATTTCATGATTTTTTGTACTGGTGTTCTTCATACATACAGCGATCTTGGTTTTGCTGAAAAATATCACACAATTGCATTAATTTCACATTGCATATGACCTCAGTACCAGAATCTTAAAATAAGAAGGGAAAAAAAGAGATGCATGAAGCCTTTAAATATGCCACATTAAACTGTTAAATTGGAAAAGCTAGGAATGAGATTTTGCAGAACATAACAAAAATTGCAGTATATAGTCCACTACCATGGTGAATCACTAGAATTCCCATTATATGGATTATAATCTACAGTCACACTAGTAAAAATGTCTAAAGAGATGGAAAGTTTCTTGGGAAGGGGCAGTGCTTACATCGGTTTTCATATATTCTGGTGATATGCTGCATTGCTTCACCAATACCTTTTCCTATCTTTTCAGGGGGTTACAGATGACCAGAAAGTAGTCATATTTACAGGCAAGAATGAGATTTTGTAGAATATGACAAAAATTGCAGTACGTGGTCCACTGCCATGGGGAAACACTGAAATTCCCATTACATGAATCATAATCTACAGTCACACTAGTGAAAATGTCTGAAAAGATGCAAAGCGTCTTAGGCAGAGGTGGTGCATACATAGGTTATCATATAAATACTTTCTACTGCATGTCACCATACATTCATATAAATACATTCTAGTACTGAGGTCATATTCATATAAGTACATGGTGACATGCTGCATTGCTTCACCAATACATTTTCATGGTTTTTCAGGGGTTGCAGATAATCAGAAAGTGTTCATATTTACTTGGTGATTTTTCAGTAACATTCTAAAATTGTGCATTTGATTTCAAAACTCTATGTTTGTATCTTTTTGTATGCTTTTAAACAAAGCTAATGCACATCACAAAGGAGTATCTGAAATGAGAAGTGTGGTAGCTCCCTGTACATATTATCTTTATTGTTGGGAAGTTTAGTTTCTCTAGATTGGCAACAAGAAAAAATGTAAAGAAAAACAAGTTCACTTTGATGTTCGTCTCAAAGTCGCTATGACTAACATCTTCTTTTATTATTGTGAATTAAATTATACTTAATCCATTCTGGAATTATCATTTAAGTTATTAAATTATTCCATGTATTGACTCAGCATAGCATCCACAACAGAAGAAACATACCAAAATTACATAATTATTTTTCTGTCCAGTTGCCAAGAAAAGACTGTATGACTTTGTTGGTGGAGCAGAAAGCATAATGTAGCATAGTAGCTAACTCTTCTGGTTTTTTTATCACATCTCTCTGTCTCTCAGTAGATCATCAAATATCCTCGATTTTAATTTTTAGCCTTTATAAGGAAAAAATTTCCCAGCAATGAAATTTAAATTACGCAAATTCTCTTTTCCCACATCTAATGATTTTCAAAATAATTTTTCTTATTAAACTTTGTTTCATCTGAATAGTACTTTTTTCTTATTTCAATTTATTGATCTTATTAAATTTCATTAATCTGAATTGTATTAATCTACTGTAAACATTTGTAAATTTTTATATGAAGATTCAAGGAAACTTTAATCAATTAATACTTGAATTTAATTTTGTTTACTTAAATATATGGTATATTATAAAGTTTATTCACATAGATACTATGTACATTAATTATTAATTTTATTTTTATCATATCTAAAAGTACTTTTAGTAAACATTTCCTTCATTACTCATGATTTTCTTAGTATAAAAGTGTAATAAAATTAAAAGCTGAAATTTTCCAAAGAATATAAAATTCAGAATATCCAATTAAATGCTAATAGGTTTAACAAATAGTTCAATACTTGGGTCGTGCAGTATATTGCAAATTAATGTCAGTTTGGAAGTTCCTTTGAAATGGGTTTGCTGTGCAGTATGAAATTTTTGCTGTTTTTAAGATTTTTAAGGTTGGCAGCTATGATAGTCATTCGTAGTTCATATGAACGCTGCCTAGGATGGTGGGATTGTTAGCAAAAAGACTGACTACCAGGCTTATTGCTGCCTATGGTCATACATTTGACTCCTGAGTAAGACTTGCATGTTTATATTGTCTATTCCTTCCTTTGTAACTGCAATATCAGTCTGCCCCTTGTGCCATTTCTTAATGATGAGATGGTAAAATGACCTGTGAGTTTATCTACTGCATAAAGAATGTCATAATAGTGACTGCCTTATCACAAGGAGAAGTTTGTATGAATTGAACTACATAATGCATAACACAAACTTCACTGATGTCAGTTACAAAATTTTTATTCAGAAATTAATACTGATTACCATGTTATGTCATACCTATAATTCATCAGTTTTCTATTATTAGGGGCTTTGTTATGCAAAGTACAAATATTAGTTAAGTTTTTCTGCTTTTTGTTGATTAGACACTGGAGCAGCATGGGTTCTGTCAGCTGATACTGGCCATACTGATAGCCTGATTTCATGAACATGTGACATATGATAGTACTGTTTTTAAATTGGTTGCAGTGATTTCTTAATTCATTTTTAAAATGTATGTTTATGAATTTTCAGTTGCATTTCAAGCAAAATAATCATATATACTTGTGAACAACAACTAGATTAGCTAGTTAGTTGCATCCTCCAGATTTCGGATGTTAATTATCAGAGTTAAAGTAATATTGATTAACTGGTGTAGTATACTAGCTCTCTGTGAGTTTATACACCATTACAACCTATGCCTATTGTTATATTATGGTGATTGCCAGTTATTGCAGTGATTAATGTATATAAATTTGTCTCTTGACATTCTGGGATTTACAAACTGACAAAATTGATTCATGACAAAATTAATGGTTTTGCTATATTTTGTGAAACAGATATTGTTGGAAGACAAACAGATATTGTTGTACCTATATGCTCTCAAGTTTGTTAAAACAGTCATTTAGTCCTCTGAGCTGGGATAATTTTGGTAAAGTTGTTAATGAAATAATAATACTTCATTATGAAATGTAAATGCATGGGATAATATTAGTTAGTCTAATAAATCAGTTTTAAGCAAAATTTTATCATTGTGAAGTTTGACTACTATTTCATTCATTTATTGTAGAAATTGATCTGCATCTCCAGTCATTTATTTATTTTCAATGGCTACACAAACCGATTAATTTATGCATGCTGAACATTATATATTTTGCTTTGACAAGTCTTCCACAATGTGGCATTATCTTTGCCAGCCTTTCTTTAATTCCTTTAACATAAATTCTGATATTCAGTTATATTTTATTCGTGGTTTTAATTATTCATTTTTATATACAAAACTATTTTGATCATCATTATGATTAAACTATTTTGATTATCATGTTATCATTATATACAATCAATAAACATTATAATGTACAGCTAATATTATACAGTATATAAGCATGTGTAGTATATAATTAATATCATACAGTATACTGTAATTAGTATTATGTGTGGCCAATACATCATCTGCAATCAATATTACCCTATATTATTACAGTCGATATATGCTATCATTATATCGAGCCATAATATACATATTATCATTACATCAGTCATATATACATATGCTTATCAGTTATATTTATATAACTTTAGTTATATCAGTTATATTTCATGCAGTCTATTACTTTTTAATTGTTTAAGTCATTATTAAACAGTATTCTACTATAATCAGTGTTACATAATACATATTATTATATACAGTCAGTATATATAACCCATTATATATAATCGTTGTATACATTCATTAGATGATGCAATATACTAGCTCTTTGAGAGTTTATATACTATTACAAACTTTTACAATATTTTATTATGATGAGTGCCAGCTATCGCAATCATTAATGTGTATAAGTTTGTCTCATGGGATTTACAAACTGTATCATCATAATCTACTTTTTGCTCTATTTTGTGAGATAGTTATTGTTAGTGGACTTAAGATCAGTTATATTGTGATAAAAAGTGCAACAATTGATTCGTTCTGTCTTATCTGTCAGTTGTAAAATAATAACATACAGTATATTTCAGCAGTTATTGGTACTATCTACTTTTTGTTTTGTGCAGCTGTAGTCGCACTCAGGTTTGTCAGAACAGTCAGTTGGCCATCTGAGCTGGGTGGATACTTTTGCTAATGTTGTTAGTAAAATATTAATACTTCTTTGGGAGTATCAATCAGAGTATAAATCAATGAGATAAAACTAAATGTCTAATAAATGCAGTTATATATTATACAGTTATATCTTTCATACAGCCATATGATCATTATATGATTCTGTGCGGTCTATCTTCTTTTTATTTTATTAAGGCTTTTGTTGCTATAATTTTTGTTTTCTGAGGATTTTTTTTATTTTTTAGGTGTCAGTCATATACTTCATTCTACGATACCCTTTGATGTGCCAAACCAAGTTTCTTTATCTCTAAAAACTATGCATTTTATGAGTTCAATTCACAGTATGCCTGTATATCTGTCTGATAATGCAGCTGGCCGAGGTCTTCCTGACTACTGTGAAAGTGTACATTGCCAAAATGGTGGATCACCTGTTACAGTAGCCGAGCTAGAGGAAGAAAGTGGTACAAAATGTGAGGTATATATTTTAATACAAAGCATTGTTTAACTTTCCTATATCGCATGTATTGCTGAGTAAAATCAAATTATCAATCAAAAATAATTTTTTACTTCTAAAATATATAAATTATTTTGATTTGTCTGCCTTAATTTATTTTTCTTGAATATTCCATTTATATTTTTTTATAAGTTAATGATTTTAAAAGTGGATAATCATAAGTAGGCTAATTTCAGGCAGAAGAAGGAAGATATACACTGGTGTGCAAAAATTAAGGACGAAGTCGAAAAATTAGCATATCAGCTGAACGAAGAGGCAGAGCGGACAGAAAGACCAATCAGAAGATTAAGTAAAATGATGTACGGTAGCACATGTGCAGATATGCAGGTAGACATAATAGGGGAGTGTCTGAGTAGTATAAAGCATGGTGTCGGTGTAAGATCAGTATTTCTGGCAAACAGATTGCACGCCGTATAGCAGTTAAAATCACACCGAGTTGCTGCCTCAGCGAGAAATGGCGAATAATCAATCTGTTAGACGACATCTGGATGCTTTTACCCGAGGTCGAATCATTGGGAAGTTGGAGGAGGAAGGCCGCAGTGTGACAAGTGTGGCTGCAGAGTTCGGAATTGCTCACAGCATCGTTTCACGACTTTGGAGACAATTTCAAACTACAGGAACAGCTATCCGGGGGTTTAGTAGTGTGGTCGTCCACGAGGAACCACACCCGCAGATGACCGGTATATTGCCTTACAGGCCAGAAGAAAAAGGCGGCAGACAGCGGGAGAAATCGCTAGACACACGACACAGGCGACTGGACGACCGATATCGCGTTTTACCGTGGCCAGAAGACTGCACGGTGGTGGTCTGTTTGCACGACGCCCTGTACGGTGTGTACCTCTAACGCCTGCCCATCGGAGAAGGCGTTCTCTGTGGTGCCGGGAACACCGGAATTGGAGAGACAATGAATGGGGACGAGTACTCTTTACAGATGAGAGCAGATTCAGTCTGAGTAGCGATTCTCATCGCATACTCATCTGGAGAGAGAGAGCGGGGAAGCCGCAATCATCCCTCGAACATCATTGAAAGGGACAGGTATGGAGGTGGCGGTGTTCTCGTTTGGGGAGGCATCATGCTTGGTAGTCGTACAGACCTTCACATCTTCGACGCAGGTTCAGTCAACGGGACCCGTTATTGTAACGAGATTCTTCTTCCATATGTGCGTCTTTTTAGAGGCGCTATGGGTCCGCAGTTCCTTTTCATGGACGACAATGCACCATGTCATCGCACAGTAGCTGCCGAACAGCTCTTAGAGAGTGAGGATATTGAACGTATGGATTGGCCGGCACGATCTCCGGATCTCAATCCCATCGAGCATGTATGGGATTTTCTAGGCAGACGCTTGGCAGCTCGTACCTTACCACCAGTAACGATTCCGGAGCTTCGATTGGCGCTGCAAGACGAATGGGCAGCAATGCCTCAACAACTCATTGACACCCTCATTCTCAGCATGGGCAGACGCTGTGAAACCTGCCTAGCAGTCAGGGGAGATCATATCCCCTATTAAAGACCGGATGTTTCTTGCTGGACACCCATCACAGGGATGTTTCGGCCTTCAGTCGCATTGCGCTCCATGCTACTTTTTCAATAAAGCTTCTTTTTATCCCTCTGATTCTCTGAAGTTTCTTTTTAGTAAGTGTTGCTTACATTACTCATGTCCTTACGTATTGGGGATCTTACGGTATTAAATGTGTTGATTTGGAAAGCTTTCGTACAAAGTTATATTGAAAAAAACCGTCTCATCCTTAATTTTTGCACACCAGTGTATATCCTAATATTGGCTTTTGACCATCATTAAACTAGATTTGTTGTTCTTATCCATCATTGTCATTCTTGGTTTATTAAACTAACTAACCTAAAAAATGTATATAATATTTAAAAAGATTTTATAGCATTTAAAATGAGCTCCTATTTCAAAGTATATATGTCATAATAAGAGCACAAAGAAAAAAGACGGAGCTCTTCCACCCTGCTCACCCAACTTTTCTTTTGAAGGGGGGGGATATGTAAGATATAACAAAATATGATAGCTGTTTCAAAAAAATAATTGACGACCTCAAAATTAACATTCTAAATTTGGTAATCTGCCCCTAAATTAATCTCTTCTCGCAGGTTCCAGACTTTTCTATCTTATGTAACGTTTTAATGCAGATGCCTCTCGTCCAATCAAATTAATTCTAAACCAAAACTGGGAACTGAAACTTCAGCCTTCTTGCTACGAAAGTGCTATAACCTTTCCTTTTTTCCGCGTTAGCTCTCCTGCTGGAAAGATGGAAGCACGCGAAGAGAAAAGTTTTGGTTTACAAGGTCAGTTTCAGTTCTTAATTATTACGTCATCGGAGTTGCGCCCGATCATAGAGTGATCTAGAAATGACGCAATGCAAAGAAGTTATTACGATTTTAGAATAAAGAGGAAGAATTAATGTTTTATAGTTTAATCTATAATTTTGATTCATATATTTTTATCTTACATATATTTTAACCAGAATTATGAAATTAGTACATATTGTATTTACTCAAAAATAAGATTCCATTTTTGTTGCATTTTTATTCTAAAATTGATGCGGTCTTATAATCGGGTATATCAATAAAGTGAAATGGCAGAAAGAGAGGTATGAGTTTAATTATTATACTTAATAGAATAATTACACTGTTTAAGCACTAAATAAACCACACAAGTAATTACCATATATACATATAAATTGTATAATTACCACTAATATAATAGCCTTTTTAATAGTATTATTAAGAGGAAAGAAATATCTCATGTAATTACTTGAAGTATTTTTTTTTTTTTCAATTATTTGTTAAAGCTAAACTTTAAGCATTGAGAGAATGCATGATCTATAAATGATACATTTCTTAATATCTATCTGCAGACTGGCATTACTAAAACTATATCATTCTTTACTTATTAGATGCATGCATCTGGTGTTATATAATTTCTTGCTTAAGTGACTCTCATTCTTAAATTTTGAGAAAGTACACCACTATAATTTTCTTTTGTATATAACATCTATTAAGCTTCATGCATAGCTTTTCATTTGCTCCTTTTGGTTCTCAGTAAAGTTTTAATCTTTTATTTATTCTAGATCAGATGGTTAAAGTTTTATCTATTGCTTGTTTTTAGACACGCTTTTTTTATAAAAGTCTTTTGCATCTTTTTGACTAATTAAATGTATGAATGTCTAAAAAATTATTATGGAAATAAAAATTTATAATTTCTGCAGTTTAATTATCTAATTTTTACAAAAACATAAGCATGAAATTAGTATCATAAAAGCTATTTTAGTTCTGTATTTTACTTTCATATTCATTTTGCTTCATTTTTTCTGTATTTAATCTCTGTATGTGATAACTTAAATAAGGTTTTATGTACTGTGAATTTTTTTAATTCCTATACATATTTGTTTTTCTGTCTTCACTATTTTATATAAATTATCTATTGAATTTCATTCATAGTTGATTTTTTTATTTTCTTTCAGTGTATGTGTCCTCTTCTGTATGCTGGGCCAAACTGTGAAAGAGAGACATATTTGCTCATTCCCCAATTTCACAAACCATCCTTCTTAAAGCATGCTTTACCAACTATTGATCCTGTTAAAGGTCTGGATATTGATATAAGTTTCAAAAGTTCATCATCAGAAGGTACAATACTGTTCACTGAAGCTTTGAATAGTGGTTCCTTTCTGATGTTATACATTGAGAATGGCTTGCTCAAATTTAGATTTTCGTGTGGGCATCAAACAACAATTTTTATGGAAACCCATGCATCTGTTAACAACAGTTTTTTTACATCTGTCTCAATATCGTGAGTATTGTTGATTTCATCTGCATGCATTAGCTCTACATTAAAAGAGACTAAAAGACTAACACTAAAAAAGACTAAAAACCTGACACTAAAAAAGAAACATGCCAATTTAAAACTAGGCTAAACAGCAACTGTATTTTGGCATAGTTTTCATATCAGTTATAAAATTGCACAGATCCTCCGGAAGTTTGATTTTCAAGTTATTTTCTCACCTATCAATAAAATTTGTTGTCGATTCTTAAAAGTTTCTTAAATATTGTGAAACTTATAGTATAACTTTCCAATGTAGTTTGAGATATATCAACCAAACTAAAAGGGTGTTAAAATTTTATGTCAAGAAACATAAACCTTATATCCAAAAAGGGAAATAAACAAATCTTTTGATAATCAGTTATAGTTGAAAACTAAATTTTGATTTTGATTTTGCAAAAACTAACTGTAAAGCTTCTCATCTTTGTAAACTGGATTTCCTTGAAGCTTTACACATTCACAAAATTTTTTCTTCTTTATTTAATGACATTAATTCCAATAGAGTTTCTGCTTATGCTTTTAGAAGTCTAATAGCTTAGCGTGCTCACCAGAGTCCGAGCAGTAAAATCGCTGAACACTGGTAGTTCGGTCCGAGGTTCGAATCCTGAAAACGAGCTGGCTGCATGGGCATTTTCGCGGTTTTCCCCATGTGTAACTTGTATACGAGCCAGTTTCCCTTTGAAAGTCCTCCTAGAAGGCATCCCTTCCCTTAGGCAGGTAGCCCTAGTGTGCTTTGCCGTACTCTCAGTAAACCAAACCAAACCAAGCTAATAGCTTTTCACATTTCTTTATGATTTTCTTCAACAGATGGCACTACATTTGTGTTTGCTTTGTTTCCCCCACTGCTTTTGATACAAATATGATCATTGCATTTCCCATTTCACAGGATTTTGTTTCTCTCTCGAAGAACCTCTTTCTGATTGCCCTCGAAATCAATAGAATTTTATTCAAAATCTAAGCTAAAACAAGATTGCTGTTTTGCCCAGTTTTAAACTTTACATTTTTTCTAAAAAGCATTTTAGCTTAAATATGCACATTTTCAAAAACAGTATATTGCACATACATTTGCTTAAAATGCATTTTAACTCTATGTACTGTTATGCTGATCTTGTAATCCACCATGTCTAACTTACAAAATTTGTTAAATGCAGTTAATTACATACCTGGTTTGATTTTCATTAAAATAGGTTTATTGTGTATTGTGTAGTGTATTTAAGCTCTCCTTATGTGTAAATTTCAGCCTGTTCCTCTGAAAAGTTTACCACAAGGTTTCCCTCGTAAATTATATAACATTAGAACTGAATGCACTTGCATGAACAGTTTTTCAAGATATCCACATAGCTAAATGGATGAAGAAAATTTATCAAATTCTGTAAATGAGTTATTAAATTATGAGTTTTATATTTTTCAAGATAGTTTTATATTTTTTAAGTCATTTTATATTTTTCAAGATAGAAGCAGAGAAGATGAACTCTGCATATATTCTTCTGAGAAACTAAAATTATAATATATGTTAACATTTTCACTCCCAGAGCAGAGAGAATACAATTCTCCTACAGATGCATGACCTTGGGACATTGAAGGTCACTGTGTGCCCAAGTGCTTCTCTTAGTTAAGCCTAATGTGCCAAAAACCTATAATAGCTTTTCCTATAATAAATTCCTATAATAGCTTTTTGTGTCCTTGAAATATTTGCATTTTTATGTATGTTATTTAAATTTTTTATATATGATCCTGAGTTATCCAGTTAAATAAAATTCAAAGTAAAAAAAAAGCAATATTATTAATAACGATTCTAATTATACATTAAAATTATTTCTGTGTATTAATGAAGAGGGAAACTTTAAAATTCAAAAGATCAGTGCATATTATTTATTATTCCTATACTAATGTACTAAAATTAAAAGTGCATTTAGCATGGGAAACATTTCTAAATCCTGAACAATGTGTTGGTGAGTATCAGATGTTTAACATTTGTTTGACAAACTAGTAAGCAACACCATAGCTGCCAACTATTCCAGTTTTTCTGGGAGACTCCCAGTTTTTCATCACATTTCCTAGTAGTTCACCGAATTTCTTTGGTTTTAATTTTTAGCCTTTACTAAGGAAAATATTTCTCAGCAATAAATAAAATTCATTGTATTAATGAAACTTAAATTAAGGAAATTCCTTTTCCCTACCTCTGATGATTTTCAGAATAATTTTTCTTATTAAATTGTATTTAATCTGAATTATATTTTTTTCTTATTACATTTTATTGATTTTTGCTTTATTAATTTTTTATATGAGTTGTCTTAATCCACTTTTTTATGAAGACTCAAGCAATATTCAATCAGTTAATATTTGTATTTAATTTTGTTTACTTTAATATATGGTACATTACTAAGTTTATCCACTCAAATACTGTGTACATTAATTATTAATTTTATTTTCAAGGTACTTAAAATTACTTTGATATGATAAATAAAAGTGTTTCTTCACTACTCAGGATTTTCTCAGTATAAAAGTATAAGAAAATTAAAAAATGAAACTAACCAAAGAACATAAAATTTAGAACATGTAATTAAATGCTAATACGTTTTACATCAGAATTTAACTGCAAATAGTTGAATAACCTGAATCATGCATTATAATGAATTAAAGCCAGTTTGGAGTTCCTTTGATATGGCTTTGCCGTGCAGTAATTTTTGCCCAAAAATCTTCCGGTTTTTAAGATTTTCAGGGTTGTCAGCTATGCAGTATTCATAACAGAGGCTGAAACACAGGATATACCATTCAATAAAATTTCATAGCATTTTAATATACTTTATTTGTCTTAAAAATTTTTAATTAAGCTTTCTATTTTAATGTATCAAATTTGATACAGTGAGTTGCAAATGACAATTTGCTTCAGATATGATATGCTTTAATATGACATATGCTTTAACATTTGATATGATTGGTTTACAAAGAAAAATTGAAGCATATATGATATGCTGCGAAAAAAGAGGTTAAATGGAAGCATCCTGACTTGACTTTTTACTTCATATATAACCAATATGTTTAGAAGAAAGGTGAAAAAATTAAATTGCTTTCCTTTGAGTCTTTATCTCCATATGAATCTAATTTTATTAATTGGTCTGTTGAAAGACAATGATTTTCAAAATTAATTACATTTAGTAATTACAAAGTGATTTTTAAACTAATTACATTAATTAATTATATGTAAAGTAATCTTTATTCTTAAATAATATATACATTAAATACCACTGATAATACCAAAAAAATCCAATACATGTTCTTCAAAGAGTAAAAGTATTTTCTGTGACCCTTTTGCTTCTTGAAGAAGTATCTCATATAGATCCACTAAAATTCATATAGTTTTTTTTTTTTTTTTTTTTTTTTTTTTTTTTTTTTAACCTGTATGACAGCAAGGTGCCAGATGATTGTCTTGTATGAAGAAGCACAAGAAAACTGCTTAATAGGATTTCATACTATTAAGCAAGGAAACGTATTAAGAAGGAAAACTTACAAACCATTTTGCTGTACCCACACATGATCCATAATTTCCTTCTCTTGCAGCTGAGATATTAACCATGTTTTGCAACATGTATAGTTAAGAAGCCCATTCATTTATATGTAAAAAAAAATCTGATCAAAGCTGCAAGCACTGTTGTGAATACAACAAATAAAATTACAGTGACATTTTTCTTTGTGATACTGAAACCTTGGGATACAGGGATTTGCTGTCTAATAAATTAAATAAGTAAATCTATACTTTAAATTTTAGTAGAACTAATTTATTATAGGAGAAGTTTCTTGAATGCAGTGCATGTAACTTTACCACAGTTCCGATCATTTTTTGATTTATTTTGTAAGCTAGTTCATTGTCAAAACCAACACATTGCAAACTAGGCTGCATCAAATGATGACTATCTGAAATCTTCTAAAATGTTTGTCTTCTGGTCATGAGAGAGTTGTTTGCACCATAACATTTACTGATATATGTTATGGTGCAAACAACTCTCTCATGACCAGAAGACAAACATTTTAACCAAGAAGCATAGCAAAAAATCGATCAGCCAGTTGAAAATCAAAAGTTTTTTTTTTTTTTTTTCCCCTTCAAAAAATAAATAAGTGAATAAAAATAAATAATATAAAGCTGAAAATAAATTTTATAGATACATATTAAAACTTACTAAATTAATAAAATTGCATTAAACTGCATGCATACTCTTGCTTTCATAGAATTAGCCTTCTTAAACAGGAAAAATTTAATAAGAAATTTATATCTGGGATTTGTTTTTAAATAAAATTTCAATATAAACCTTTTGAGCTTAGGAGAGAAGAGTTCCTGCCTCTTTCTCTGAATTTAGCTATAATTGTAGCCAATATATTTAGCAGTCTGTTACTTAATGTGATCAGTTAATATGTGGGTACTAATGTTTCTGTAAAACTAATATCTGTCTGAGATTAGAAGGTTTGAATTTTGCTTAATTTTAAAGCAAGTTAATGTATTTTATTCAGACATGTTTCATTACTAAAAGTAATTTATAAAGTCAGTTCCAAATTGTCAATCACATTGCATATTTTTTTAATGTATATTAAATTTTTCTTGGTTATTTTTCTTTAATATTCACAGTAAAAGTAGGAAAAGTTTTGTAGTATTGATTTCTAGCAATTAAAAAAAAGTATTACTTAGAAGAAAAATGAAAATAAAATAGCATAAAAAGCTAAGAGTAAAAATGTATTAGAATTGTTTGAGAAGAATCTTTAGTAATGATGCAGTACATCATCCATCATCTACCACTTTTAGTTAATATATTTCAGAATTGTAGAATTACAACTGAACTAAGATTCAGAACTATTTTTCAAAAGTATTTACTAAAAATTAAATTGATAGTTTAAATAAATAAATAATTATCTCTTAGTTTAATGATTTTCAATGAGACTGCATTTACTAACCCAGTACGATTATCCAAAGAAGGCTAGGTTAAGATTCGTTTACAACTTAAAATATTGTAAAAAAATGGCTAATGTATAGAAAAGAATACTTGGACCATTAAAATAAAATAAAAGTCTACTATAAAATTGTTTTGGACAAGTTATGCTATAGATTCAAGTTATTTTTAAAAGCAATAGATCGCATATTCCATCATTACTGATTCTTTTGTATACATTTTGCATTACAGCAGCTTCTAAAATATAGATTTTTTATTTTTTATATTGTTTGAAAACTCTATTGGGTTTTTAATAAATGTGATATTTTTTTTTTAGAAACAACTTGTATGTAACTGAAATTTCTTTTAAGCAGGTTTATATTTTATGAGTTAATATTTAAATGATTTTTTTATGGGTGTGTGTATTCTGCATCTAAAACATATTTTCCATAATATCTATTTTTTAATATGTATAAAATAATATGATTTGAAATACGTGTCTTTTTAGTTTATCATGGAGCCCTGATATTGCTCAAGTGAAAAATGCTTCATGTAATGTTGGTTTGCTAGTTAATGGCTCTGCACCAATGAGTGGTCAACAATTTGTAGTTTTTCCAAGATTTGATTTCAGACATATCTATATTGGAGGTATTCCTACTACTTTTAAAAGCTCTGTTCCAGAAATACATCATGTACCATCTTTGGAAGGGTGTGTTATTTTTCTCCAAGTAAGTATTATGTTTAAATATCAAACTATAAAGAATGTTTAGTATTCTAAAATTGCTAAATTTTAAATTTTTTATGATTTTATTTTATTTTTTTAAATCTTTCACTGTTTATGTGAAATAAAAATTTAAATATTTGTTCACCATCAGCTAGTTATTGTTTAATACTGTTATTCTTATTTAGTTGATATATAAAGGTATAATAATAGGAGAACAGACATTAATGTAATTGAGAAATAATTTTTTATATTTTTCAATTTTGCTTTTATTTTGTCCCTTTTAAAATTTAATTACTATAAATAATAAATGAATAAATGTTATTTATTTCAGTATCTTATTTCTTAAGCTGTGTCTTTGTTTTATAAATGGAAAATTTCTAAATTACACTAATTCAGAAAAGACTGTTCTGACTTCATTCAAGCATAATTTTTTTTAATTCTTCATTCCTTTTCTAAAAATTTTAGGAAATAGTTTACATAAATGTGTTATTGGCAAAACATTTTGAAAAAATTATTCACGACTTTCATGCATGAATACCCATATTAAACCCGAACCAAATAAATACATCTGATAAATTTTGAGCAAAATTATCTACATAATTTTTGTTATGATATTTGTTATATGTCCTTGTTTATTTCTTAACATTAATTGAAACTGCTTAGCTACTTTTATGTAGTATGTTACTCTGGAGTTGGTATTTGAAATATATTGATTTGTATGTTTCAGCAGAACCAGTGCTAGGCATTTTGCCTCCTTCTGCAAATTGTCCAGATCCTAAATTATGCTGTCCAGTGCCTCCTCTAAATTCTAAAAATTTTGTCATTCCGTAATTTTGCTGCCCCTAAATTCTGCTGCGATACAAGCCCTGTATTTCTGCGTTATATTTTTCATCTTTTAAGGCATGATTCATTCATTTCCTTTGACTAAAAATAATAACATTTTCTTATGTTGCTAATTTTTTAGTGCTTTGTTTCCTTTGTATAGTGTTATTTTTCTTCTTTTTACATGTATTTTAGTGGGGAGGGAGAGAAAATTTTTTTAATTTCTTAGATTTTTATTATGATTTTTTTTCTTTTTGTTTGTTTGTTTATTTAGAAAGTTCTGTTATTATTCAAACATTTATAATGCATATTAATCTTTCAGTTAACTGAAGTTGTTATATTGCATACTGTACAAACTTCAAATGAATAGTGTGGAGAATTCCCATGATTAAATTTGATTTGCTGCTATGCATATTTTGTAAATAATTGTTTAATGCTGGATATTATTTATATATCTGATTCAGACTGCAAGTGACTTCTTAGAAGAAATCAACTTTACAATTTTTAATGCAGTTATTTATCAGCTTCCATTTTAGGCTTGCTCAAAAGATCTTATTTTTTGTTTTTTCTTGTACTTAAAGGTAACTAATAACTTCTTAAGTTACTTATACCTAAGTCATACTTATATAATAACATGAGTCTGTATATGCATAAGAGGTAAGCAAAACCTCTGTTTCATGGGATTATTTTGGAACCGTTCATTCACTGAACTGAATGAGTTCTTTCTACAACTCACCATTCACTAACAATAACCTTGATGAATTAGATCGGGAGTGATTCAAGATTGCTGAGGGGTGATGAAGTTAAGAGTGGAAAGTGTCAAATAAGCAATGGGATTGGAAGGATCAGTGCATTTAAAATGTTAACTTTCAACTGTAGTTTTGAGATTCCCTAAAACCTCCTTACTGTATAGATCTAAAATTTAACATGTTCAAAAATTTTTTAATGAGGAAAATTTAATCTACTTTTACCATAGGAGGATAAAAATTTTCTTTCCTAAAATGTGAATCTAACTTTCCTGGCATGCTTCCAATAAGAGCTCAGCATGGGTGACCTATAAAAGAACTATCACTCTTTTTTAATGATTCACCATTTGCTTGCTTAGTAAAGTGAATTGGTTCTTTAAATTTATGTGCAAGATAATGACATATCTCTAGCACAGATATACATGCTTTACATGCATATATATACACATCCACATATATTTTATAGTATTTGTGTTTTTTAGGGGGGTGAAGTTTGCTTCTTAGCTGAATATTTACATAAGTGTTATAAAATTTGTTATATTGAGCATACATAAAAAATCATTAACATTTTATGTTCTTAACATTCCTTAATGTGACATTTACTGTTATTTGCACAGTTTTTATTACTTAGGTTTAGCACTCAAAACATATGATTATTATAACCAGAGACTTCTCATACTGCACATGAAACATCATTGGATAACTATAAAATTGCAATGTGGGTTGTAGTATCCTGATCTAATGTCATATTCTTGGCACTATTCTTTGAAGAAACTATGTATAGTGAATGTTATTGTTGAGTATTTCACAGGTTTGTTGGCCTGCTTGCTGAAATTGCATTCAGGTACACATATTGAATAAGATGGTGCTACTTTTATAGCATAATAGTCATCCAAATGTCTTCAAGATGTTCAGATTAAAATAAGAGGTATTATTGTAGTAATTATTATGGTTGAAATCAAAATAAAAATATTCTAATTATAAATTTCTGTGCTGAAGGGAGAAACATTAAGCTTTTCTATGCAATGCAGTCATTTAAGTTTTCACACATTTATATTTTAAATCATAATGTTTAATTTCTTTTTAAAGCAGATTATTCAATATATCATTCTTATAACTGTTTTTGTTATGTACTTTAATCTTATAAAAAGTATAAAAACTAAATTTTTTTCATGTCAAATATTTTGTTTTGTGAGTTGTAGATTAATGGTGATGAAAAAGAACTTGTTCAAGATGCAGAGATTGGTGTTGGAATTACAGAGTGTTACAGCAGTGCATGTTATAGGAATCCATGTTTAAATGGTGCTACTTGCAGAAGGTGAAAATTTTAATTTTTAGATTATCATGACTTCTGAAAAGTGGTCTTTCTATTTAAAGTATATGAAATTTCCTTCTATTAATGTAATGTATACATTTTTTATACTAAAACTTGTTTAATTATTGCAGCTATGATGATCACTGGAATTGTGAATGCCCAGATGGATTTGCAGGCCCATTCTGTGAACATAAAACTTGCTTCGCTAATCCATGTGAACATGGTAGCACCTGCTTGCCAGATCTAGATAATGGTTATTTATGTGTGTGCCCGTATGGAAAGCATGGAAAGAATTGTGAACTAGGTAACCTTTTAAATCATTCTCATTTAAATCTTGTATTTATTCATTTCTGAAGTAAATAATATCAGAATGTGTAGATGTACTTTTTATATAATTATATAATGTTTTTTTATACAAGCAGTTTGAACTGTATTGAATAGTCTTGTTTTTGTGTAATTTTAAGACGGCCTTTTCACATCAATTATTATTATTATGTAATTGCCATTATAGCTTAAAGAGGTTGATTAAAATAGCTTAGTATGAAATAAATTATGCTAAATATATATGCAATAACTGAATAAAATACTTAGGGATTAAACTTTTTAATTTTATTGGTTAGGAAAAGAAGAATTGGAAATTTTTACTGAAAATTAAATTCTTATATAAAATTGGTGAAGAGAAATATGTATTTTAATGAAATAGCAATAAATTTATGAATGATTTGTTTTGTTGCAAATTGTACTGAGTCCAAATTTTAGTTTATTTATTAACATTTAAATGTAAATATGTTAACCTTGTTTTCCTGGTAATCAGTTCCAAATGTATTCAAATTTATAACAGTAAACAGATATATTCATACTGTTTGTGTCGAAATGTAGACTGTATGAGGCGATAATGTCTTTTAGTAGTTTTATTAAAACTCGACAATAATATACGTGATACATTACTTAGAACCGAAGTTCTCGACAATTGACACCGATGCGACTTAGTGTCTGAAGATGAACTAACTGACAATTTTCCCGCCTAGTTGGTGGCATTCAGTTTGAATTGTAAGTTTGGCATAGTTACAGTTAAAGGCAGCAACACGTACTTTATGATTTTTATGCTCTTGCATACTAGTAATCAAGTTTATGCTGATGAAGTAAATATAAAAGGTTTTGTAAACAAAGACTTTTTTATTTGTTTTGTTTTTACTGTTATAAAGTCAAAACAGTACTCCCTACTAACTAAGATCTCAGAATGAGGTAGACTGAAATAGCTGTATATCTTTTCTTTATAACATTTATGCATTTTACATTTTTGTGATGTTGGTTGACTTAATTTCGCTTATTGCTTGCTATTGCTTTTCTAAACTATTTGAAGCTCTGAACAAGTATGAATTTAGAAGTCAAACAACAAAAATCAGAGTTATATTTTCAAATTTTCGCAGGACTAGTTTCGACAGTTTTACCGAACCATCATCCTTAGCTGCATAAGCACAAAATATTTGAGCTTCAGCTGAAAAAGCACATTTTGCATTTTTGCAGCTGAGGATGATGGTTCAGTAAAAACGTCAAAACTAGTCCTGTGAAAATTTGAAAATATAATTCTGATTTTTGTTGTTTGACTTAAGCTCATTTAATCCTTTTTAAAATATATCATACTGCCTTAATAAGATAGCCTCAAATATAAGATAACCGTACATTTCTGAAGGTGTTTACTAAGGAAAAAAGGGGCTTATATGTAAGATAGCTCGCATAAATTGGCTTGATATGCTGAGTGTTCCACAAAAATATATTAATATGATCTAAATACTATATTTTAAAATAAAACTACCATATTTGCCAGCATATAAAATGTACCCCACTCTCCAAAATTATTTTTTAGAGGAGGATATTTAATTAGGATTAGTAGAAGGAAAAAAAAAAGTCAAGTAAACTTTTTTGATTTGCAATTTAATTAAGAATTGATTTCCACACTGTCAAAAATCACCTTACTTTGCTAAAAGAAACTACTGAATTCAAACAGATACAAAACAATAAGGCTGCAATGTCCAAATAGCATATAAGATGCAAGCTATTTTGAGTTAATGCTTCTCGGGAGATGGGAGTATATCCTATATACCAAGAGACCCAGTAACTGAAATAATAAAGAATAAAAATATTTTAATATAATAATAAGTGATTATTTACCTTAATATATTTTTAATGTTAAATTGTGATAAGCAGGTTTGATTTTCAGAAAGCCATTTATAGAAAGTACCATTTTAAGCTCTGCATGAAAATGAGAATAGGAGAATTAAAAAGTGGAGAATGAATCCAACTTGAAAATTGTATATACATTTTGAGACTTGGTGATAAGATCAACTGAATTTTTAATGAAATTAAATTAAATAATAAATAACAATTAAATATAGGTGAATCCATTAATTTATTGTTTCATTTTAAAACATAACTCAAACTGCACTGCAATGAACAGTAAAGTTAACAAAATAAACCAACTTATGAAATTAATAGAAAATGTCAATCTATACAATGTTTCAAGTAAAAAACATTGTTAAACGTTAATAAGTATGAATTTGCTGAATGGGTCAGTGCTACACATATTTTTTCTCTTCACCTTTTCCAATACAAGATAATGAATGACTACAAAATTTTTGCTGTTCAAGATGAACAAAATGTGACTTATTTAATAATCAATATTTTCAGAAATATATAACCTTTCAGGAGAAAAATAAGGAAAAAAGCATTTAATAAATAAACTAATGCTTTTCTTTCATGCCAAAATGTTAAGCCAAGTGTAATGGAATTATGTAAGAAAAGATATTTTAATACTGAATTCTAATTTTTTGTTTTGATTTAATTAATTGGTAAAATAGCTAAATGTATTTTTTTTCCTTTCCAGATCTAGCTATAACTCATCCATCTTTTTATGGAGATATAATGGGTTATTCTTCTTATGTGCAATATCAGTTATTTTCTGATTATCATTATCATCTGGAGATTAGGTTAATGTTTTCTGTTGTTGATATGAAACGTAAATCTCTTCTGCTTTTTAATGGACAATTAGGTATTTATTATTATCCTTTTTTTAAGTTATGAAATGCTAAACTGTTTTCTTTTTCAATAAGACATTATATTGTTAAAACATTTAAGTAATATTAACATATTGTAATTTGTAAATATATATGGTATAATTAAAAGTTATTATTAATGTTCCATTATAAATAGTTTTCTCTCTGCACGAATCTGTGATCAGCTTTCTAATTTTGTTACTGATGTTTTAGCATAGCATTTTCCCCCTTTTTCTCATTATTTAATGTAATGTAGCTATTAATACCCTGTCTCTTCTCAGAGCATATTGTATACAATCAGATCAATCTTACATCGTTGCTTTCTTTATTATTATTATTATTATTTACAGAATTGGGGAGTTTCTTTATAGCTTTAATTTTCAAATGTATTTACTTTTATATTCGTAAAATTTGTAATTCAGTCCTAAAATGTACTTCCTTAAATCTGAATTCATTGGAAATTTGCTAAGTTTACTGTTAATTTGGTTTAAGATACACGGAACAAACTAAGTGGGTTTTAAATTTTGCTTTGAATAACATGGATCTTCATTTGAAAAGAAGTTGTACAAGCGATGTTTTCTCTGTTATTAAAAAATGAATTTATCAGTGAGTTCTTCAGACTATGGAAAGGCAGTGGCAAGAAAACCTGCAGTTTTGAATGCATGTAGTTGTGCATCCGAATATGTGTGCCTAATTTTGAAATTTGAAAGTAATTATTTTAGTTATATTTTGTGCAAATTTAACAGATTTTCTATTTAAAAATGTTCATGAAATCAATGCATGTTTTATTTTCACGTGCACATTGTTATAATTATGCATATGTCTTTTATGACCATGAATGTCATAGATTACTGGAAAACTGCATAGAATAAAGGGTTGAATTATTAAAAAAATAATATTGGTTTTGAGAGATGTTTGTTGTGCTGTTCTTTAATGAGTAAAATACTTATTAGGTACCTTTTAATGAGTAAAATGCTTTAATGAGTAAAATACTTATTAGGTAATTTAACAGCAAGTATATATATTATTTTTATTTTACTAACCACTTATGCAGCTAATCTTTTGTCTGGCATGCATGTAACTGATCAGACTAAATAAATGTCAGACCAGAGTTTGGCTGCACTAGCAGTTAGTGGAAATAATGATTGTCATAAGTATAGCTCTTTAAGATATATGTAATTACTCATTTCTGTAATATAATTCTGTACCTGCTTTTTGGTATCATTCAAAATAGTTGCCACTTGTAGAAAGGTATTTGTGCTGCACCTATTGAAGGAGTTTCATAAAAATTCCTTGGGGCATTGCCTAATCTTACACTGTTAAAAGTCTTCCACTTCATCTGCATTAACAATTGGTAGCTTTCTTTTATTTACTTGACGAAAGGGTAAAATGGAATGTGGAATTAGACATCATTCAATTCTGTTAAGGATGAATAAATTCTTGTATTAACTTGCTTCAGTAGGGATTTCATTCATTTTCTGTTATCCTTTCTTATGACTTCCAAGTCGGTATAGTGGTAAGTAATGTGCTGACTAACATACTGATTGACCTGCATTCAAATTTCAGAGAAGGAATGGATGTTTTTAAGATTAGTGTCTGTGTGGCAAATACATAGAAGCCAAAAGACTTCTAAAAAATCTGGTGGTATTTTTCCAAGGTGTTTTCTCTTCGAAGTGGGGTGGAAATATACTTGTATGAGGAATGGTGAAATTCTGGTGTGCGGCTCACTTCTGCTTATATCTGTCGTTTTTTTTATAGATGGCTTTTCAAACCTTCTAGAATGATGCAATTTAAAAGTCATTGCTCATCATTCTTCTGAACCTGAAAACTGGAAAAAAAAAAAAAAAAAAAAAAAGTCATCATTTATCATTTCAGAGGTCATTAATTTTAACCTTGACTACTAGCTCTTGAATTTCTTTAATGTAGGAGAATTTCAGAAGTTGTTAGCAGCTGTTAACTAACACATGATCAATCTGTTTGCCTTCAAAGTAACTATTAATTGATGAACTAAGCACATAGTTCTCAATATTCCATGGTATTAATAATGTGCTGGATTTAACAGAATACTGAGAAGCTGACCATGGCCAAGTTCCTCAGCATTGTGTTAAACAATAATTTACCAGTTTGCACAAGTTCTTCCAGCTAGTCTGGTTAGTTCGGTGAATGCTGTTGGTGGTTATCTATTACATGGTTTTTCTTCAGTACTAAGTATGTGTTCTTTAAACTATTTCATCTAAATCTCCATATTACTCATAGCAAGATCACCTCATAATGTATATTTCGAAGCATCTGAAATTGTTGGCTGTAGTACTCTTCTTTAATCAAAAAGAAAAGAATGCTTTACTTCATATCCACAGTTTTACAAAAGTTAGAATCAAAGAAATAAGGGCATTACTAGAGAAAATAGCAAACCATTATTTTCAATATGATTTCCATATTTTTTGCGGATAATCAGTATTAAATTTCTTTGATTATTCTTTTCAAGTTTTCATATGCAAAATTTGCCAAAACCATTTGTAGCTGATGAACTGTATATCCTAAAAGCCTTAAAAAAATCTGTGATAAAAATCTATTATTTTTAATAATTTTACTTTCAATCTTCACTGTCAAAAAATATTTTAATGTCTTAACACAGAATTTTTTTCTTTTCTTTCCTTCTTCTTACTTTTGTCATCAGCATTATTATTATTAGATAACGTTAAATGTTCCTTACAGTTCAGTGCAACTGAACTACTTCGTTTGTTCTAAATGTTTCCTGTGAAGAAAGGTGAAATAACATTTTGCCAATGTAAAGAACTCATGCTTTTTCAACTTAAGATAAAATATTTTTTTCATGATTAAGATTCATTAGAAGATATTTTGTTAATTTGTTTCTAACTTGAAAACTTATAAATTTAGTGTTTTAATATTTTACTTGGTATAACAAATAATAAACAAAGCATTGTAAAAATTTGTGGAACAATAATGTCTGAATCAAATTTCATGAGAATCATTCCACATATATATGATGCTAATCCTAAAGTTCTCAATAATTTACTTTCTTTAAGCATGAAAATGGTTTATATCTGATTCTGATTAAAGCCATGAGTGTTACTGTGACATTAAATTATGTGAATTTTAATTTAATTGTATTCTATATCATGTATAATGTATTCCATTTCTCCTGTAGATTCTTTTCATCTTGCTTATGATTTTCTTAGTGTTGGACTGCATTCTGGCTATGTTATTTACATGTTTAATTTAGGATCAGGTAAGAAACCTTTATTCAATATAAACAATATTTATTGAAAATAAGTCTACAATGGTGGCTCAATTAATTTTGACAATTCATTTTCGTGTTTTCCATGCCTTAAGAATTTTATATGCGTCCTTAATTTATCTTCACAGTAATTTCAGTTTACTAGAAAACTCCAAATTCTAAACAAAAATAGCTTCATAATGAAAATTTAATAAAATTTAAACTTAAAAAGTTTTAAATCTTATAATTTAGTCAGGACATAACAACATAAATTATACTATATCCATAATTGTTTCATTAATTAAAAGTTTCAAGTGAGAAGAATATATTTCTTTTCTTCTTTGAAATCTTTTCTTATATCGGGGGGAAAATTAATTTAATAATTTTAAAAAGCTTAATATTTTTAGAAAAATACATTTAACTTCCAGCTGTATATTAACTAAAGGCATAAAAAGTACTTTTGTAGCCTTGACCATTTGTACTTCTGTATAATTTCTTAAAAATTTATATACAAAGAAATTTTTAACTTCCCTATTAAATTGAGTATCCTATACTATATCAAGTAATTTTTCATGTCCTACATACTATTTTAATTTATTTTATGCAAATTTGCTTAGTGTTTAAACTTGTTTTGTGTTAAATTATTTTGAATCTTGTATGTAACACCTGGCTTACTTCTCTAATTGCAGTTCTCAGTTATGTTCTGCGTCTTTTAATGAGTTTTTCATTCCAGCCATGTATATTACGTACTGACTCAAAATTCAAAATTTAAAAGCAAATATAGCTTTCTAATATTGGAAACTTTGAATTCTAACTCAATATGAAGTAGATAAATGAATTGATAAAGTGAAGATAATTTAATGTAATAATAATTCAATATGCACTTAACTTGGGCATCATGCTTATCAAAATAATAAAATGCTTCAACCAATAACATTATTCAAAACTTAAGACTGTATTTGCAGTTCATAAAAAAATTATAAAACAACCTAACTGTGTTTTTCCAATGATGAAATTGAAAATTTATAAAACTGCATATTTATTATCATTGTGGCTAATAGTGCTGATTGTTATGATTTGAAATCATGTGATAATGGATAAATAAATGGATTTCATTTTATACTTAAAGAGGAACTCAAGGATGTACTTACTTTAAATAGATTCAAAGCAAAATAAATTGCATAATAACTTGTGTCTGAAAATAAGAATGGCAGAAAACTAATAAATGAAATTAAACATTTCTGTTAGTTTTCTTATACTCGTTCTCAAGCATGAATATCTTCTTGAATCCAAATAACATGCCATTTAGAAAACAATGCTGAAAGAGATTCAAAAGAATAATGTTTGCTTTAAAAGTTCACAAAAATGCAAATATTTGTAACAATGAATTATTCTTTTATTTTGTAGTTTAAAATACTGAGAAAGTAATCAAATGACTAATTATTTTAGAACTTCCTTTAGAAACTTTAGAAATCCCTTTTTTTTTTCATAATTTGCATTTTAACATTCATTATTATCAGCCCTTTGACGCGCGCAATATTATTTTTATAATTTTTTTAACTAAAAATCTAGAATGATATTATCCTGTACAATAATATATATAAAAAATTATTTGCCCATGTTTGTTGGTGGTCCTTGAAACCCCGGCTGTGAAATTCTAATTAGAAAAAAACAAAAGAGATTTCAATTTTTAAAAAAAAAAAAAAAAAAAAAAAAAAAAAAAAAAACAAAAAAAACAAAAAAAAAAAAAAAAAAAAAAAAAAAAAAAAATTTTAAGTTCTTTTTGTGTTGGGACTTAATGTCTAAAAAAATTTTTTTCGGACACTGTTCAAAGAGTTTTCTTTGAAGCTAGCCCATGGTTGCACTGTACTCCATAGTTTCCTTGTGCTACAAAATGCACACTGATTGGATCTAAATTTCCCCGGTTAATGTCCAGCGTTATTTAGTTTCTTTTCATCTGGTACATGACATTCGTGGTTTTTTTTATGTTAATGAGGGGAAGGGCTTGGTCTTTTTGCTTTGGTACGAATCATTCGTTTCCCATTCATACTTATTTTATTCATATTTCGTTTCATAATATTCAGAAAATATTTTTAATTTAAATAAAACTTTACGCAATTTCTATTTTTAATTACAGCAAAGTATATTTACATTAAATTTAAACCACAGGAAATAATTTATAAAATCACAATACTAGCTTGGGGAGCAAGTGTGTTGAGGTCAGAAAAAAAAGTTTCTGGAAAAGAAAGACCTTTTTACTGGGCAGGTGCATGTATTGTTAGTTATAAAATAACTCTGTGATTTCAAAACCCCTTATCTGTATCCGGGTAAAAATAAACATTCCTATTTGAGAAGCAAGCAAACGCCATTGTAAAGAGCAGTGGTTTCAAGGCGCGACCACCGAGCCTCTAGAGCATTGTGACACAATGCTCTAGTGGGGCTGTGATCGCGCCCTGAAACCACAATGCAAATGCCATACCTATAGAGGTTTTTTTTATATATATGCAGTTTAATTATTGCTATTTTTTATTGTTTATGATAGAAATCATGATGTGCGATGAATAACTTTTGAAATTTAAAGTTGTTTATATTAATAAAAGTAAATTATTTTGTCTCATTGAAAACGAATTTTAAAAGGCATCCGATTTGAAGTACTAAGACCTAAAACATGTATGATTCTGTAGTCATTTTGTGTTATTTAGAGATCAAAGATCAGTAATCAAATTATTTTCACTCATAAATTTCCGAAGAAAGAGGAGAAAAAAATTCGAAAATTGGTGGTTTCAGGGCGCTACCACCACACATCAAAGGGTTAAGTTAATCATTTTTCATATATATGTATCTTTATTATAAAGTCTGGTATTGTCACATTTGTTAAATTTTTGTGTTCATTATTTTACGTTGAATTTTTGAATTAATTATTGCAGTTAAAGATCATACATGTAATATTATCCCTTCTTGGGAATTAAGATCCATTGACTGACAATCAAATTTTGGCCTTGGCAAAAAAATTATAGATATTGCTTGAAATCAAATGTAAACTTAGAATTACTTGCTTAGAAGCAGAAGAAAAACAAATAATCATCAAAGAAATTTAGTCTCATGAAACAGAGATTGAAGGAGAGCTAGGTGGAGTAGAAACAATTGACATCCTCAAACCAATAGCTTTTGAAGCTGTGAATGCATTGAGTTTAATGCGTGCATCATTAAAATTCTGAATGAATTGAGGCCACAACAGAAATACATTTGATTTTTAAAAAGTCTAGAAATGTTACTTTAAATATAATTGTTAGGAACATCTATGAATAATGTGATTTTGATTTGCTTGTATATGATTGTATATATATATTTATTTCCATAGATGTGGTCATATGTATTATATGGTCCATAGGTGTAGTCATATGTATTATATTTTGTGTACTATCCTATTGTATTTGCTCTTTCTTATTTTGATAATATGTTTGTACTTACATAAAACTGTTGACTGAAATGCATAAAAAGATTTTTGAAATTTGATATTAAATAGTTAAATATAACTCTTTCATTCTTTATCAACATTTGATTTTTTACCATTGGAATCACAATCGTTAGAACGCAGTTGATGTAAGTTAAGTTCTTTAAATATTACCCATGTAATGATGATGCAGTGCTATATTTATATTTTCTGTAAATATTGTATCCAGCATTAAAAAGAGAGCTTTCTCAAGTAATGTAAAGTAATATGTAAGGTTCTGATTGATTTTAATACAGAATGTAATAAAAATTATGTGTACAGTAACAGTTCAATAAACATAATTGTGCATATTTTTTTTTAATTCAGGAACAAGAACATTGAAAAGCACAAGACCTTTAAACCAAAACATATCTATCCATTCTGTTCTTGTTGGAAGACACAGGCGCTATTGTTGGATGGAAGTAGATTCACAAACTAAAGTTGTTGGCTTAGCATCTGGCCAGTTAACTGCACTCAACACTCCAGCTGCACTTTATGTTGGTGGACATCCAAGCTATAATTTTAGTTTGCTTCCTGAGGAACTTCAAGGGCTGAGGGGCTTTTCAGGTGATTATTTTTGTCAACAAATGTATCATTTATAACTTTTCCTCATTTTAATAAGTAAACAACCATATTGTATTTTTTATTGAATTGCAATCATGTAATATACTATAATTTTTATAACATATGCTAAAATGTGTGATGGTCTATGTGTTTCTAATTAATCATTGAAAATTCTATTGCATTCATAGATCTCAACAGTTAGGAATACATTTTACTTACTTCTTGTTAGAATTTATAGTGTGATCTCTACATATAATAAAAGAAAGAGTCTGTGTGTCTTTCGTTCATGCTGTGTGTAAGCTAATAGACCCAGGGATACAAAGTTTGGTATATTTGGTAATTTGGCATCTCGACAAGAGCTAGTGCACCTTGAAGCGATCTCCCTCCCCCCCCAAAAAAAATCCGAATCAGATTTTTTTAATTTTATCTTTTTGATTTTATTGCATCATTTGCAACAGTTTCATTCTCTTAGAAATGAAGTTTTGGCAACAGTTTTTCATTCAATTATATCTGGACTCCTGACTGTTGAAAATAAGCACTGCTGCCACTTGAAAAAATGAGGGCGATAATTCAGTTTTTAAATTTAATATTTCTCTTGGATTCTGGACGTTTGTTGAAAGAAGGCAATTGGAAGTTGGTTGATTTATTTATTGGGAGATTTATTTAGTTTATTTATTGATTTATTAAATTCTAAAGATATGCTCATTTAAAAATTATTTTGCGACATTGCTGTTGAACTGAATTTTATGGTCCAAGTGCAAAGAATATGATATTTAATAAATAAAGGTAACACACAAAACGTTTTAAAAAACGCCCCTTAGGATGTAATTTAAAATCTGAAACCATTCAGTTTAAAATTCTGCACAGTTTTTAAATTTAATGTTTGGTGTTCCCTTCAGGCATTTTTCCGGTACATTTAAAAGCCAGACGAAGACTGGCCACATTGCTGCTAGTACGTAATAAAATACTGTGTAAATTTTTATTTAATATTTCATCAGCAATGAATATTAAAATGCTTTGTTGTGCATTATGAAGTAGTTACTCAAGGAAAATAACACTACTTAAAGTATCACTTAAAAAATACAACTATGAGGATTTTTTTGGGGAGGGGGAATAGCCCTTCCAGTGTTTGCTGTGATATAAATGATGTAAGTAAAATTAGGAACAGTATGATATGGCATAATGTTAATTAAAATTAATTATAATAATGGTATTAAGAACACAGCTGAAGCTATTAATAAAATTTTTCTTTTGCTTTATTTATTATTGTTTTCTACTTCATTTTAATTTTCTCCCTCTTTTTTTTTAACATTTCTTTAAATGATATCATGAGCATTATTTAATTCTTTTCTAGGCTGCATATTTGGTATAGAATTTAGAAATAGTCCTGGTGGAATTTTTCGATCAGTCCAACCAGTTGTTGATGGCCGTAATATACAGCAATGCAGCATAACTGAATGTGATTTAATTCAGTGTGCCAATGGTGGAACATGTGTTGATGCTGGTTCAACATTTCAGTGAGTAATTTTAAAGAGCTTAATATTCATTTAAAACATTCAAAGGCTTTAAAGTAGCTAAAAGTTACTTAATGATTGTAAAACAAAAATTGTTATAAATTATTTTATGATTCATCTCTTGTTAATGCATATATTTTTTATGCAAAATGCATTTTTATTCTTTTAACATTCTACATATTTTAACCATCATTTGTAATCATAATTTTATCATTTGTAAATAAATATTGTCTTTCCTATTAAAAAAGTAATATCTGCAACAAATAATATACTTCAATTTTAAAGTTTAATTAAAGCAATAAATAAGTAAAATATATATATCATGGACATTTATATTAATTGTTGTGTGAAAATAGACTGCTATATATCCAAATACTGCATTTTTCTTCCTTTATTTTAAGCATTTAACCTGAAATGAATGTGTACAAAATTATTATATGTTCAAGAAAATTCTCCCGTTTATTAGTCCAAAGGGATTTGAATCCCGAAGGACTATTAGTTTCGTTTTGGCATTTTGCGTCGGACGGATAAATGTCGGTTCACTTTTCAAACTGTTGCCATAAAATGTTAGAGTCCTGCATTGTATTTGAAGAAATTAAATAATGAAAATCTGCGTAAATGTATGTATATTTCTCCCATTGTCATAAAATATTGGTACATAGAGTCATCGAATTTTGAATAACGTAATCCTCCAACGAATATGAGCATGTGGAAGACCAAATTTGAAATTTGAAATTTGTTTTATGATCGATTTCCTATTTTTTAAAACTTTGACGAATTTTTGATTAACAAACTCAAGGATTTCAAAGCGAGCAATGGCAACGTTGTGCAGAAAAAAACATTTTTATCTCCAGCGCGTGAGTCTCTGTATCGGAAATTCTAAAGATATGCTCGTTTTAAAAACTATTTTGCGATATTGCTGTTGCACTGGATCTTATGGTTTAAGTGCGAGGAACATGATATTTAATAAAGAAAGGTAACACACAAAATGTTAAAAAAACGCCCCTTTGGACGTAATTTAAAATCTGAAACATTTCAGTTTTTTTTTTTTTTTTTTTTATTCCACTTTAAAAAAAAACACATGACCCAACTGTTGCAAAAATGTCATCAGAGATAATGATAATGAAAAAAGAAAACATATTTTTGAAGCAGAAAATCAACTCTATGCTTTCAAAAGCAAATTTCTTTCTCTTATAGTACATGCCAGAATTTCAACTTTTTTCAGAAAAAATTATGTCTCATTTCTGTAATTGATAAGGAAAATAACTTTATGAAAATAATGAATAATTTTGCTAATTATATAGGAAATTAAAATAACTTTAGTTTTCTGTTTTTATTATCCTAAAGTGCATACCTTAATGAGACTAAATTAACTGAAGTTTCTTTTAATGTCAAATAATTTTATTTCTGCTATATAGATAGTAAGTATGTTTCACAGTACTTCAATGTTAAAAAAATCTGCTGTGAGTTACAACTAAATGTGCATGTAACAAATATTGAATAGATAATTCATCCCAATATTGATGGCATAAATATATGTAATAAAAAAAGGTATTAAAGTAGTATTAAAGAAAGATTTTATCAATTTTAATTTACATGATCCTACTTTTTAAAAAGTAAGAAAGTTGAAATTTTAAAACAGAATGTGTATTTTTATTTAAAAACATGATCTTTTGTTTCCTGTAGGTGTATGTGTGCTGGTGGATGGGTTGGAACTTTATGTACTCAGAAGGAAACTCCTTGCTCTCTAGGAAATCACAAGTGTCATACATTGTCACTATGTATTCCTTTAAGTGATGGTTATCGATGTGATTGTCCATTAAGTCGCAGTGGTAAATATTGTGAAAAAAGTAAGTTTGTTTTATAGAACATAATTTTCTTTTTTCGGAATAAAATTTAATGTTGCATTATGATTCTGGTAACCAGAGCTGCATTTTAATAACTTACTCAGAATTTATGATATTATTATATTCTATAGAGAATGATACAATATAATTATGTTCTTAAAATCAAATCCTTTTCTATTCCACATTTACTTTTGTTAGTATGTGTGATATGTTTGCTTAAATCGGACATAACAGTAAAAGCCTGATTATCTGGCATTCAATTAAATTTTAGAAACTTTTTTTAAAAGCAAAATTGAGCAAATGATTACTTCTAAAGTTCATGAAATAATATACAACTATGACTCGAAATAAGCTAAAACTTGTGTCCAGATGATTTAGCTTCTATTATGGATAAACATGAAATCACAATACAGACATAAGATCTTTGCCTTAATTTTATTTTAACCTGACTAATTCTTGGTAAGCTGCTTTAGTTTTTTAGATGAAGGTATAAGATAATTACTGATTAAAAAATGATAAAAATTTGGGATTTATCCTAAACATAACAGCATGCAATGGAGTATTTACAAAATTACAAGATTTTGGCAACAAGGAAACTGTGCAATAATGGGTACAATATGGGACTTTACTTGGAAACAATTAAACAATGACAATGCAACATAAAAAAAATATGATAAGGAAATTCAGTTTTTCATATGATGTATCCTAAGTTGTATCTGTTGATAATCTAACTAAACAAAGAGTAATCAGTTCTCTGAAATTTCAGCTAAAATGATCACAGCACAAGTTGGGCAAAATTTCTGCCATCTTTCATGATGGGATTTCATAATCGGATAGGATGTTTTACTTTGATACGTTTAAGGGTTACAAAAATACCTTGGCCTTTTATGTCTGAAATGCATCAATTTTTCTTGGAATATTATATAATGTTAAATGTAGGCTATTGAAATAAAATGACTGATTTTATGACTTTAGACTGGAAACTTCTTTCATTCATTTGCATAACTGCCAACTCTCTTAGTTTTTCATCACATTTCTCAGTATACCACCAAACACCCTAGTGTTTAATGTTTAGCCTTTAGTAAAGAAAATATTTGTCAAAACATTATTGTGTTAATGAACTTAAATTGCACAAATTCCATTCCCTTATCCGCAGTAATTTTCAGCATAATGCTTCTGACTAAATTTTATTTGATCTGAGTTGCCTTAATCTACTGTAAGCATTTGTAGTTTTTTTTTTTTTTTTTTTTTTTTTTTTTTTTTTTTTATGAAGATTCAAGCAGTGTTTAACTCAAGTAATATTTGCATACAAAGTGAAATTATACTGTGTAATAATGTATAATAATTATATGATAATGAATGATTATTAAAGTTATTTAAATATATATATTGTAATAATTATTTTATTTCTTTTTGATTTCATCTACATGCAGTCTTACACATAGCTGAAGTGGGAAAAGTAAAATCAAATTTATTTCTGGAAAAAAGAATGAAAATAATTCTTGCATAAAAGACTGCAAAATTGGCAAGTGTCACGGTAAATTAAATACAAACAAAGAAGACCATGTTCAAATGGACTTTCTTTTGCTTTTTGAACTACAAAATGAATATTTCCACTAAAAAATATAGTTCCAATAATGAACATAAAATTTAGACTACCAAGTTAAATATTTATATATTTTACCTCAAAATCATATTATAAATACTCCTGTAGCCTGAATCATAAAAGTTACATTCATTTGGAGTTATTTTGATGTAACAAAAACTTACTGGAAACTCCCAGTTTTTCATATTTCGTGGTTGGCATTTAGCTTTTCTACCTTTAATTGCACTTTTTTAGCACAACTATTTGTAATTTTCATGTATCCTGCATTTCCCAAGGTTTTGGGATAATCAGGCTTTTACTGTATATAACAGACCTTCTATTTAAAATCTCACAAACACTGTGACTTTCGCAACTTGAAATATTTTTTCTTAATCATAAATATTGTGACAGTAATCCACCTATTCTGACATAACATGAATGGTGCCTGCATGTAACGTATGATTTCGTTGGACTGTTAATATGTATAATTATGTAATAATAATATTTGAATCAATCTGTCTTTTAGATCATTAATAAAACTGTGTTAACTTCAAGTGAATGTAAAAAAATAATAATAATAAGTAATAAAAATAAAATACTTACTGTGAACGTTAAAAAGAAAATTATATTTGCTGTGATTTTAAAACAACCAATAAGTTTCCTCCCCATTTTGATTAAATTTCTAAACTCAAAAATTGGGTTGCTTTGCTGTCAAGAGTTTGAGACAATTTTTTCTCAGCATCTTATAGTAACTCATTATTTCAATTAATTACTTGTCTTTTAAACATAACTTTTTATACATTAGACATTTTCTAATTTTATCTGTCAGATGTCCGTTTCTGGAATGGAGAAATACATTGTGGAATTTAATATGCATAGAAAGCTTTATAATTCAATATAAATTAAAAAAATATTTAGTTTATTTGAAATAGCTGTGCTTACTTTTAAAATGAGTATTATTACAAACACAAAAGCAATACATTTAATTTATTCCATCCAGTAGGCATCTTTAGCATGTATTGTTCTGCACAGATAGCTGGATTTCAGAAATTCTAAAATACAATTTAATGTTAATAATTTCTTATATAGCAGGTAAAGTTTCTTTTCATCATTCTTCAAATGACTTCAATAGTTTAATTCTAAAATTTTCTTCAGGCCCGTACTTGCATGTTACAAAACTACCCACCTCCTTTAAAAATCTTCAGTAAGGCAAAGAGTAACTCAGTAGTTAAAATTATCATAATACAGATCCTGCATAAAATCTTTGAGTTTCATTTTTTTAATTAAAATGTACTATGAGGTTAAAAAAAGTAAAAACTTTTGTCTTATATCTATTCAAAACTTTTGATATTTTTGAAATTCTAGAAATTAATGTTTAAAGTATTCAAGAAAAGGCAGAGAAATGTTTAAAAATTTAGCTTTCATTTCTGTTAGCAAAAAAGATTCCACAATCCTGTTCTTTCCAGTTTCTAGTTAATTTCCAAGAAAAAGCAAATAGTGCAGTATTTATTGCATTCACTGCCTTCTTATGGCTGATCTACAGCATCTCATTGACATTTGTTCACGAAAATATGGATTACATGTTATGAAATTGCAGAAAAAAATTTATTAAAAAGTGTAAAACTTAATGTAGATATTGTTTTGTTTAGAATAATCATTAAAGCTGTAATGCATGAATTTGAATTTTTTTTAAAAAAAAAAAAAAAGAACTGATGTTAACTGATGCACTGTGTGGTGTAATTAGGTCTTTTCTAGCATGATTAATTATGCTGCTATGAATTATCCAAGGTTTGATTATTGAGACAAAGTACATGAAGGTAGTTGCTTAGGTTACATTCCAGTTTTAAGTGAAAATACTCAGAGGATCTTAATTAGCACCTCTGAGTTGAAGATTTCATTTTGTTCTTCCTTTACCATCAGCCGCTTGAGAGGACTTTTGAACTGGCAAATATTAACTAGCCTCATTCTATAAAAACATTATTGTCACAAACATATTTGCATTATGTGGGATTCAAATCAGAACCCAACATTATGGTAATGTGTCCAGCCTGTGCTAATAGCAGTAAAAGTTCAATTATCAAGTAAACTTGGGAGATACTGAATGCTGGATATATGAAAATTCTGGATGATTGAGTTTATAAAAATGCAATGATTTTGTACTCGAGTTTTTCGGTTAGTTGAATGCTGTATAGTTGAGCTTTTACTATATAGTTTGACTGGTTCATCCAGAAGGGGTGTTAGTTACATGCAAGAGAGTGAAGAGGTCACATAAGAGTTTGCTCTTCTCTGAAAAGAGATAATTTACTATCGAGGGGGAGAAAGTCCCCATGTTGTGAGTGATCCTGTTTTCAGTTGTCTTTTGTGCCATTATTTCATATCCACAAAAATAAACACAAAGATTCACATTGGTTTGTAAGGTTAATCAAAAATTTGAAAACTTTTTTCATTACATATGAATTTTATGTGAAGAGTGTATCTTTCATTGCTTGCTTTTAAAAATAAGATGCCTAAAACTAATGGAACTATACTTTTTAGTGGAAATATTATTTCTGTAGTTTAAAAAAACAAAAGTAAACCATTTGAACGTGGTCCTTTGATCATAGTTAATTTTACATGACATTTGCCAATTTTGCAATCTTTTATGCAAGAATTATATTCATTCTTTTTTCTGAAATAAATTTGGTTTTACTCTTCCCACTTCAGTATGTGTAAGATTGCATGTAGATCAAATCAAAAAGAAATATAATAATTATGTATCACAATAAAATTACTATAATTATTTAAATAACTATAATAATCATTCATTATCATATAATTATTATAATTACTAAGAACTTTTTTTCAGTTTTTAGTCATATACACATATATTAGTTCAAAGATAAAAAAGGATATATAATAATTATTAATTATAGTATTACTATAATAATTATGTATTATCATAAAATTATGATAATCAATTATAATAATTTATTATAGTAGAATTCATTGTAATGAAAATTATACAATAAAATGTAATAATTTAATTACCATAATGACAATTATAATACAATAATAGTCATTTATTGCACTTTATCTTAACATTTTGTATGTGTAGAAAATTAAGCTTTAAAAACACTCAGATTTTTGTCTAAATAATATATAAATGCACAAAATTAACAGTTACAAATCAAACAGTTAACTACAAATGATAAGCAGCATATTATCTTAGAATACTTAAAAGTAGTTTTCTGCCTTCTTAAATCTGTGCTCTTTGAACACACTGAAAATAAACAGAGAATTAATATGAACAGAAAAAAAATCCTATTGTGTGATTCATAGCCATCTACTCCATTTTGTCAATAAATCAGTCTGAATAGCACATGTATGTTGGTGCTCATGGTCATGGTTGTTACACTATCTCACACTATTTGGGTCGCTTAATTATTTAGGAATTAAAATGTCTAAGATAGGTATTATAAGTTTTTGTATAATTTGTCTCATTAGGTGAGTGTAATATCTTGGACACTTTTTTTGTCTTTGACTTTTGATTACCAGTACATCGAATAAAAAGAATGTTATCAGTCTAAGATATATCACTAATAATGTCAAAAATGCAATTACAATCCGATATTAGTTTCTTAGATTTTGATTTTTTTAATGCAGTTATTCTTATAATGCTTAGTGTTCAAATGTTTATTTTTATTTACAAATTATTTTATTAAATAAAACAGTAGTTGTTAATATTTAATTATAAAACTTGATTTGTAGTTTTTAATATTTAATTATTAAAAAAGATTTGTCTCGTTTTTGTATCTGTCAAAGCTGTATTATCTGATCTAAGTAAAATATTTTCATTTAAAAGATATTTCAGTGAGTGATCCTCTTTTTGATGGGGCCAGTTCGTATCTCTCTTTAAGGATGATAAATGTCCGACACAGCATGGATGTTATTATTAGCTTCAAGCCTCTCGCTGATGATGGGCTACTTTTCTACGCTGCTCAGCATTTAAATGAATTAAGCCGAGATTTCATATCTTTATCTCTGGTATCCGGATATGTACAGTTGCGGTTTAATTTGGGTACAGATCCAACTTCCACTGTTGTCTTGAACTCATTTCAGAAAGTAGAAAAAAGTAAGTATTACATTTAAATTTATTTCATAACTGTAACATATTCTAAAAAGAACAAGTTTGAATAATTTCTCTCTCTCTCTTAGAATGCATTTTTGTAGAAATAAATTACTGGAATATCTAGGTCATTAAATTTCAGTTTAAACTGACAGATATGTATATTTTAAAATAACATATCTTAATTAAGCCTACTGCATCTCATAACTGGTCTTCATGTAGTTAAAACTGTTATCATTAAAATTAGTTTCTTGAAAGTAATCTCAAAATGAAATCATCTACTTTTCGTCCTTCATGAAAAATTATTAAATTTCTCTTCTTCACTTTTCAATATAATTCTTCAAGCAGCAGTAACTAAAACACTTATGTATAACAAAATTAGTTTTAATGTTTGTTTTATATGTATTTTTAAATGATTAATTTTATATATGTGTATGAATGGATAAATTTTACTACCTAGTATTTCTTCATGTTCTAGTATTCACATTAATCAAACTGGAGAGTTCAAAACATCTACCACTTGTTATTGTATTAAGGCTAGGTTGTTAAGACTAAATTGATGCATCTAAAAACTTGAAACTATTAATTATTTTTTTGATTTTTGTCACTCTTTTTTTTTTTTTTTTTTTAATGATGAAAATTATATTTCATTCAGACAGAGTGCTAGTTTTATAAATTAACCTTTATTGATGCAAAATTCATGTGAATATTAATTTCAATTTAGTTTTTCTCATGATTCAATTTACAGAACCAAAATTTGTTAACATTCTGTTGTTGAGGAACAGTTTTTAATTATTTCTTCAGTATTATTTAAGCTTTAAATTTTGGAGTACCTTTTACCTGCCAGTGAAATGAAATACAGAAGCATTTAGCATGTTCCATTAGGAAGATATTTTCTGAGACAGAAAACTGAAAGTTTGTCACTGACTCAAAATAATTAATCTTCTTAGTCCTTGTCATTAGCAATATTAATATGGCAATGCTTATTGTCATTTTTGTTTTTTAATTCTCTGCACTAAGCAATGAAAGTGTTATTGAATTCAGTAAACCTTCATACATTCTTAGAGAGGAAAAATCAAATAAAAATTTTTGATTTAGACCATATCATCATATCGAAAATATCAAGATCTAAGGTATAATAATGATTTGGATGTTCAGTTTCCTTATCCAAGGTCCTTTTTTTAGTCCAAAGGCGCTTTTTGTCTCTCAAGAACTATTGTTTTCATTTTGAGATTTTGCACCGATTCACTACGAACGGCGAATCACTTTTCAAACTGTTGTCGCAAAGTATTATCGTCTTGTGTTATATTTAAAGAAATTAAATAATGAAAAATCTGCATGTATATTTCTCGCATTGTGATAAAGCAATGGTACACAGAGCCATCGAGTTTTGAATGATGTAATCCTGCTATGAATATGGGCATGTGGAAGACCAAGTTTTAAATTTGGGATTTGTTTTATTATCGATTTCCTATTTTGTGAAACTTTAATGAATTTATGATTAACAAACTCAAGAATTTCAAAGCAAGCAATGGACACGTTGTACAGAAAAAACATTTTTATCTCCTGAGTCTTTGCATTGGAAATTCTAAAGATATGCTCATTTTTAAACTATTTTGCGATATTGCTGTTCAACTGAATTTTATGGTTTAAGTGCTAAGAACGTGATATTTAATAAATAAATGTAACACACAAAATGTTAAAAAAACGCCCCTTTGGTTGTGATTTTGCATGCTTACTTCGATAGTTCTATCTCAGATTACACATAATGGTAATCATTGTAACTATGAGTGGAAATAAAACTAAATTTAAATAATCATCCAAAATCTTTTTTTAATATTCCTATTTTATTTTGATATCTATGACTTGTATTCACTGCAGTATTCTTGAGGCATTTATCCACATTTCGTAATGAAAATAAGCAACTTATTTACAGAAATAGATAGAAATGCTTTTAAACATATGAGTTCTAGAATAATAACAGATTTTTTTTAAATGCATTTTGCATGTTTAGTAAAAACCTCTTAAAGATTTAATTAAACGTAGTTTATTGTGCAACTTACTAAGATCGGCACATTTCTGAAGTTTAAAATTCCACAAAGGTGGTGCAGTTTTTACATTTCATATGTTTAAATTTTAATTCATTATCCCTATTTATTTTGATGTACCATCAGTCTGACTTTTTTTAACATGTGTTTTCAATTACAGTATGTAAAAATTATTATGAATGTAATGTGAAAAAAAAATCTTATCTTTTTATCATAATATTTATAAAGGTATGATAAATTTTATTTTATGTTCATTCCATTGTTTATCTTATTCGCTATTGAAAATTTTAATAGCATAAAATTAAGAAGTTCCATTTCTTATGCCATAGATGTTTGGCAAACTGTAGAATTTGGAAGATATAAAAGAGCTGCTTATCTGAAATTAGAAGGTGATGAGGAAGTGACTTCTATATCTTCCCCAGGAATGGAAATTTTGGATGTTAACACTGATTTCTACCTTGGTAAAAATACTTTTCTATTTAAAGTGTGAAAATAATTAATGCACTTACAATTTAATTTGTCTTTAATATTACACATATGAATAGTCTGCTGACAGTTACAGTCACATCCAAAATATTCCTTTTCTTCTACTGATTTTTATTAAATAAATGAGGCAATTAAGAAATAAAAGAAAATAAACACTAAGGTGCGCATGGCATTTAAAGGGCTGTCAAAATTTTTAAAAGCGTTTTCACACTATTTATTATCATTTGATTTTTCTAAAATGTCACTATAATAGAGATATTAAAATGTTATTTTTAGCAAAAAATTGCAAAATCTGTAATTTATCGAGTTTGGGATACCAAGTTCCTTAGAGTGTAAAAATTATAAATCTACTTGTCTTAAAAATGAATAAATTTTGTAAGAAAGAACCTGTGCTAGTATCAAAAGTGAGAGGCACTTGAAGTTACATAAACTAAATGTAAACAAATGGCAGAGAATAAATTCATTCTGAAAGTTTTATTCTTCATTTGAAATGTCAAAAATATTACTCATTTGTAGTAAATTGATTAGTTCATTATTTGTATATCTAGAGCAGGGGTTCGCAACTGGTGGTACGCATACCACTTGTTGTACTGAAGAGAAAAATAGGTGGTATGCAAAGTATTTTTAACTATTAAATTCAAAAATTAAAAACCCAACATTCTGATTGAGTTTTTTCTTTAACACTCGTAAATTTATGAAATCTAATTTACTTTAATGAAATAAATCTTTTTTATGCCATAAAGAAAACTCCATAGTGATATCTGCAATTTTTTTCCCCCATTTCATATGTTTAAATCGCATGTTTCATCATGTATTTCTCATTTGTTTCCCTGTTGTGGAAGATGATAATTATAATTCTGCTGTGTAAACCCGTATACAGTTGTCTCCAGGTAAAATTGTAGGGCATGATACTTTATCATCACTTCTATTTGATCAACTGGGTCTCATGCTCTCTCTAGTCTCCTTAAAATGTATGTGTGGGGGGGGGAGGGGGTATATAAAAAATTATTGCATTCCTCTAGGCATGGATCCTGTATCTTATCATATAAGCTAGTACATTTAGCTAGCAGATGAAAAATTTGTGATTCAAATCAAAGTGAGAATGCAGTTGAATTTTCTATTCTCTGCCTCAAAACTTTAATGGTACACAATAACTTGATGATCTGGACTTTTATTTAATACTATTCCCCTGCAGGTAGCACTATTATAATGATTTTGATTTCTGGAAGCAAGATTTCAATAAATGCTGGACCAAATTATTTTAAACTTTTGTCTCGAATATCTTTGGAATTAAATTTGCATTTGATTGACTATACAGTGTGTTTCAAAAAGAATATACGATTTCAAATGCATATATTTATTAAACTGTACGACATATGAATATGAAAACTTTACACACATATGTACGAAACCCTCTCAAGTTCAGATTACAGATGTTCAATATGTCCTCCATCAGCGACATGAACAATATCACAATGATACTCAAATTCCTCCCATACTCGGGCAAGCATGTCCATCGTCACTTATGTTATGACCGTATGGATCCGGTTCTTCACCTCTTCCAGGTTTGGTGGGAGTGGTGGTACATAAACGTTGTCTTTAATGAAACCCCACAGGAAGAAATCTCAGGGTGTCAAATCTGGTGACCGTGGAGGCTAGCTGAGACATGCTAAGTCGCCAGCTCCTTGTTGACCAATCCAACGGTTTGGTAGAGTTTCATTCAGATAATAATGCACTTAGCAACACCAGTGAGGAGATGCCCCATCTTGTTAAAAAATGAAGTTGTCTTCGTGAAGTCTCGGAAAAAACCAGTTTTGTAACACATCGAGCTACTGCTGACCGTTAACAGTGTTTCCATCATAGAAGAATGGGCCGTTAACAGATGATCAGGATATCACACAAAACACATTCATTTTGGTGAATCTCATACATGTTCACTGGCTGCATGTGGGTTCTGTAAGCCCCAAATTTGAACATTGTGTTTGTTTACATGACTACTAACATGAAAAGCCGCTTCATCACTGAACACGATGCATTGTGCAAAAGTGTTATCATTGTCAATAGCATCAATAATCTCATTACCAAATGCTACATGTTTGCGTTTGTCATCAGGACACAGAGCCTGTAACAAATGTAACTTGCACGGCTTCATAACCAACCAACGTCTCAGAACATGCCAAATTGTTGTTTTAGGCAGTTGTAACTCCCGACTAGCATGACTAGTTGATTTTGAAGGACTATGCTGGAAAGCAGTTTGAATTCGTGCAACATTTTCGTCGGGAACACGAGGGCAACCAGGACTCTTTCCTTTACATACACATCCTGTATTTACAAACAGTCGATACCATCTGCGAATGTTCCATGCATTCGGAGGATCACTTTTGTACCTCAACTTGAAATGTCTTTGCACTGTAATCTCGGAATTGCACTTCACAAAATCGAGAACACAAAATGATTTCTGCTGCGGAGTAGCCATTTTAAACATGTGACAGTTACCACGCAAAACAGAAGACAACTGACATCTAGTGGCTATTAATATAAACTAGACTATTCTTTTCGCCAATAGCCGAGCTGAGGTGCAGGATTGATAGTTTGGACAAAATAACACTTTGTAATACGTATATTTTTTTAAACACTATCTATATTGTGTTATAAAATTAAATTCACATTTGATTTCTATCTGTTTATATGCTGGTACACCTTCAATTATTTGTAAAGATGTTATATAATATGAATTCAGTAATATGATGAACTGTCTTTAATCCTAATGACTATACATTAAGTTGACACATATTATTTAAAAAATTTTATTGTAACCTAGCACTTTTTCTCTTTTTATCCTTAACATTAGTTTCCCTTTTATTGCTGTGATTTTTGTAGTGCAGCAGATTCAGTGTAAAAAGATGACTAAATTTTATGGATTTAAATCATTGCTTTTTGTTTCTTTTTATCAAAATATATTAATAGAATCTTTTTTCTCTTTAATACAGGAGGTGTTCCAGATTTGTCTGCTCTCCCAACTGAAGCATTAGAATCTGCACCCACATATTATAAAGGATGTATGCGATTATTTTCTGTCAATTCTATCATTATGGAACTGAATTCTAAAGGTGGGTGAAAGTATTTTTTTCTGTACTTTTCTGTTAAAGATATACTGCACACTTTCAGTGCATTGTTGGCCCGTTTTGGCTTATATCATTCTTCATGGACTCGACACTAGTCGAAATAACAGCAAGGAAACATTTTGTAGTTTCACAAAATTCTCCAAAAAAACAACCGTAAGGGAAGAACACAGGCTAATATTTTTTTTCGCCTCATTGTGACTAAATTTTCATCAATTTCCATAATTTTGTAACATCCGTCTGTTTTTTAGAAGGGATAAAAGTGAATTGACACATACTTATATCTAATGTAAGCTGCTGGAATACTACTAAGAGGAAGGAAAACACTAACAACCATAGGAACCACAAAATGTAGAAAATTGGAATAAATGCTGAATACAGTAAGAAGGGGTGTGCATATGCAATTTTTTATTTCTCTTCCTGTTCATCACATCACAGCACTGATAAAAGATTTAACCCTTTCAGGATGGGCGTCCCATATACACATTCCCTAAGAACGTCTCTTACAGCCGGGCGTCCCATCCACGCATCAGTAAAGATCACATTCAGAGGACGGGGAATGCGTATACGCATTTTAAGGTGGAACATTTTTCTGAAGGCCACTAGATGGCATCCTGTGTCCATTACTTTTGAAATGAACACAATTTTAGGTTCCTGACCTTGATTTTGATATATTCTGCTTGACTTTGGTACTTTATTCATCAGCTCTTGCGAAGGGAGAGGAGGGAAAGTGTAAACAGAGGTGAGCTCTTTAAACCGCTGCGTGCTAATGAAAACATTCGCGTGCCTGATTTATATCCAATTCCTCTTTTTATTCTATTTTTTCCTTTACTATGTATGGTCTTTTAGGGTTAGTATGTGAAGTACTGTTACATACTGTTACTTCAGATATATTTCCGTTCCTTCTTTTTTTTATTTAATAAAGCCTCACTTCCAGTCTATTATGGCAGGAAGGTGCTATTTATCAGAGGAAGAATACCCTAGTATGGTTAGTGAACCATTTAACTAACACAAATGAGAGTACTGATTCATTTTCTAAAGAGTTAAAAAGTGATACTTTTCTAAGAGTTACAAAGTGATACTTCTCTGTGCTTCGAGAGTTACCACACTCGTTTTCATTTTAAATTTTGTTACTTCTTACTATAAATAGTCTTTATTGTGTTCTTTTTATTAATTTTAAACTTTATTGATGAATTTTATCAATTAAAACTTTGGAATAATTTGAATAGCGCTTCCGAAAATTATTTTAGAAGATAAGCAATTTTTTAAATATATATTTGCATGTAAAATAAAGAAAAAAATGTTTTAAAGGCTAATTTTAACATATATAAGAGCTCAAGTAATAATATAAAATGATACCAAAAATTACAATGCTAAAAGCAAAACTTTTGTTTTTCTGATTTTTGTTATAAAATTAGGCTTAGCGATGCAAAACCTCCATCCTGTACGGTGACTGCCTTCGATTCTCTTCTGTCCCGCATGAGCGTCTTAAACAAAGGTGCGCCGTCGCGAAAAGGTTAAAGCATTTGACGTATGCTGGCAGCTGTTGTACCAAGTGAAAGTTTTATGTCAAAAATTTAGCTGATGATCTTGGAAGTTTGAGTATGTTTTCCTGACATGACTTAGATGATTTGATGCATGGCTGTATCATAGAAAAAAATTGAAGAAGGGCAAATAATAACAGATGTTACTAGGGAGTTCAACATTGCCCTCATTTTTTTTCTATAGCTGTGGAAAGCATTTAAAACAACTCGAACATATAGCCAGCCTCACGGGGAAGGTCGTCTTACATGTACGATGCAGGAGTCAGGTAAATTGACCTATTGGCAAAAAGAAAGCAACACACCATAGTTCAACAGTGGCAGATGAGTTTCTTTCTGCTGCAAGACAAGGAAACTCCCAGAAAACTACAGACAGAGATTTGGGAGAAAGAGAACTATATACCTGCAGACGTATTGTGTGTTGTGTGTGTCCCACTGTTCCAGACAGCATCACATTGCCTGTTTGTAATGGTATGAGCATTGCAATTGGACTGATCAGGATTAGGTTTGCATGCTATTCTCATACGAGAGTAGGTTCAGTCTATCATTGGAACGTACATGCCAATTAATCTGGAATGACAGTTGTACTGCTTATTGTCCAGAAAATACCCAGGAAAGGAAGTAATATTCAACATGCAGTATCATGATATGGGCCAGCATCATGATCAATAGCTGCATGTCCTTACCTGTGTTTCTATGACTAGCCAACAATACATTCATGAAGTTCTGCTGCCTCATATCTGTGGTATTTCCAGTTATAAATTTCTTTTCATGGACTACAGCTCATCATGTCACCAAACACTCACTGTTCAGGATTGTATAGACAGCAAGAATATTCAATGCCTATATTTTCCAGATTTAAATGACATTTAAAATGTTTATGATGCTCTGGGGAGGTGTATTTCTGTACGAAAATCTCCTCCGATGAACAAGAACATCCTAAATAAATTAAATATCTGCAGAATATTAAAAAGAATAAACTTATTTATAAAAATTTTTAAACTGATAGCAGACTGGAAATATCATTTATAAATAAATGTTCATTTTCAAGTTGATATGAGATGTATGAAAAGGAAAGCAATACAGACTAATACCTATTTGAAATAGAATTTTTCACAAAAGTTGGTTCTAGTAAAAAATTTGAAATAATTGAAAATCCACTGAGGAGGTGGCAGTCTAACAAGAGTCAGACTTTATATTTTCCAAGCATTTATTGCCCGTGAGTTTTGTGCACTTGCAAGATAAATAACACTATAAGCATATATTTTTTCATTTGGTTTGATTTTCTTGACATATAAGGCATATTTTCCTTTGTTAGTTTTAATGAAATTAATTTTTATTCCATTTAAACAAAATCACAACATTTCAAAGACTACTTGTGAAAATAATTTGCAAATAAAAACAGAGATGAGGTGTTTCAGAGAGTACTTTTGATTTTTATCTCGGATAATATTTAAGAAATGTAATGGAGCCTTCATAGAAATTTGATGACATATTTTGTTATATTAGGATCCTAGTCATACTCAGTAAGTCTTTGCCTGATATGCATCCAAGTGTGGGGCCAAGCTGCACACTTGGTTTATTGACAGTTAGGTGGTAAGACCGAATGATGAATCCATTAGCAAATTAGTTATGTTTTCATTTTATGTGCATGTGTATAATCTCAAATTCACATTATTGGTTAAGTATTAAATTAATTGTTATTTTTTCAAAACTTTATTATGACTGCATATTTTAGATAAATAGCATTATATTTCTGTTTTATAAAGTTGTTCCAATTTTGTATAATATCCCTTTCTTAATATTTAGGTGCCATAAGTGGTCGAAATATTGAAGACTGTGATGGGACTCCTTGTGGATATGACAGTTGTAAAAATAATGGTATATGCATCCCTAAAGAAGATGGTTTCACTTGTGAATGTAAAAAAGTAAGGTAGATTTCTGTTTTTATCAAATAAAATACTTTCGATCAAAATGATCTGGAGAAACTTCTGTAGACGAAATGTTATTCTTCATTAATGAAATTCTTTCTTAGATGCAATCTTTCTGTTTCACCCTGCTAATACTTCAAACATTAAATAGAGATTACTTCAATCAAAATGTATGCCTAAGTCAACAAATTTCACTGAAGGAAATGTATTTTATAAAATCATTTTGTATTGTAACATACTGGCTGGCCTGATCATTCAAATTATGAAATCATAATCTTAATAATTTTATTCTCATAAAGACAGGCTAACACTGCAGGTGCACTCAATTTTTACTTTCATTTCATGTAAAATGCAAGTTAGCTTCCTTTTGAAGACTTTCTGTGCAGCCAAAATATAGAGTGTTTTAGAATGTTTTGCACTCGGTAACATACTGAAGGTGAAATTTGCATAACAATATATGTAGCTGCCTTTCAATATGTTTATGGCAAACATAATGACCTTGCATACTGGAAAGCAAAGCCCATTTTTAGTTGGGTTGCAGTATGTGCTAATTCACACCAGGTCAAATCGATGTCAAAATATTTGTTGAGAATATACATTCTAGCTATATATTGCTTATTATTGTGTTAAATGAATAATGCAAAGGAAAACTGCAAAATATTTTGAATATAGTCCACTCAATAGTTATGTTCATTAAGCCAAGATTAACATTGCCTCAGAAGTACTGATCAACACAAGAAGCCCAACTGAATTTTGATGTAAAATGTGCAATTTCTTGCTGAAGTTATTCACTGTTTTTGGCAGTTCCAGGAATATTTTTATCTACCTTGTATATGTCTTTATGTACAGTATTTGTATATATACAATACATAGTATACATATGTATAGTATGTCTTATGTTTAGTATTTACTGTCATTGAAATGTATTTCATTGTCATGCTGTTGATCTTTATGAAGGTATAATGAGAAAGTGTGATATAATGAGTAGTGTTTATATAGCTTGACTTATTTTGGAATGCCCACTCCAAAATAGTTTCTTTTTGATGAAAAAAATGTACAATTTGATTATTTAAATAGTTCTTATTTTTTAGTTATTTGTGTCCTATTCTGAATTATAGGAATTTCATGGTCTGACATGTGAAGTTTATGCTCAATGTTGGGAACATAGCTGCCTCCATGGTGCTACTTGCATGCCTGATGGCCAGTATAATTACAAGTGTTTGTGTCCCATTGGATGGCAGGGTGATAAGTGTCAGACTGGTAATTCAGTTTTAATTTTTAATGACTTCAAAATAATAGCTGTAAAGACAGAATTAATATGATATAGTTTAAAAATTATGCTAAAGCTATGGTAAGGCTTTAAACTGGTTTAAAAGCTTGAGGAAACTGAAAAGAAATTGCCATCTTTATCATGTTAGATTTCTTTACCAATGTTGAATTTGGTACTGTGGCTTATATTTTTCATTGGTGTCTTATTTTATTTTTTAATTATGCTCAGTACTGAGATATGACTAAACTCTTTAAGTGACTAAATTAATAAGAAAGATTTGTTCTGTTTTCAATTTCATTTCAAGTTTTAGCTTGTGTTTTTTTAATATATATATATATATTATTTATGTCCTTGTTTTGACATAAAATTTGCGGTCTTATTTGTGATTAAGTCATATTAAAAGTAGCATATAGACACTGCTGCCATTTACCAACAGGAAGTTCACTTCTTTTACTGTTTCTATTTCATGATTGTAAACATTTTTGTTAATCTTTTGAACTTTATTTTATATATTTTGAGGTTTATGTAATATTAAAATTGTATTAATGTTTTTAAGCTAATGGTTTTCAAATTAGTATTAGATAATTTTGCTTTCTTCTAAAAAATATGTATATCCTTTTAGCCATCAACGTTTCCAGTGCCCATTTTTCTGGAGCAAGTTATTTACTGTACAAGGATTTATCTTACAAACATAAGGACTTGACAAAAACAAACATCTCTTTCAAATATTCCTCAAATGAAAATTTTGGTCTTCTGCTTTGGAATGGAAAGGTAAGCTTAAAATTCTACCTGTGATGAAGAGAAATTTTAAAATGATAGTTTTCAAATTGAGATTTAATTTTAAGAAATGTTCAGTGTTCAATAATTTAATGTTTTTTGGATTTGTAATTTCTGCATTTTATTTATAAGTAACATTATAACAATTTTATAGCCTTTTCACTTGTATAAAAATATAGCTCTATAGAATGTTGAGTTTGATATTTTTAATGATATTGGTAGAATGTGGATTATTGGACAAGCTGTTCCAAACTTACATGGAGGTCCCCCCCCCCCCCCCCCCCCCCCCACCCCCCCCCCCCCCCCCCCCCCCCCCCCCCCCCCCCACCCCCCCCCCAAAAAACCAAAGTAGTGTTCGCCCACGAACATTATAACATTTATAGCTTTTCACTTGTAGCTCTTATAGAATGTGAGTTGATTTTTTTAAGATATTGGTCGAATGTGGATATTAACCAAGTACTGATAGCTTGTTGGTATGTGTAACTATTACAACTGGTTAATGCACTAATATCAGCTAACCAAATAATGGTTACATTTTTTTTCGTAAGTTACAGTATGGGTTCGTGGATTTTTGGGGTAAATAATGACACTTGATGAAGTATCGAAAACACACACACTTTAATTGTTACAGTCAGCTTAATCATGCTTGCGAAGCGAAACCTTCAGCAGACACATTTATAGCTTCAGGCAACAGGTTTCACTGGCAAAGCACCAAAGTACAGCTCCCGACTCTGCTCGGTCGTTCTCGGAACTCCACGTACTCTCAAGACTCTTCACGCTACAACTCGCGATGCACTCGATAATACACTAGAGTACAGCTCCCAACACCTCGGTTCAGTCGTTCCCAGAGTTCAACACACTCTAAGATCAAACTCAACGATGCACTAACTCACGATACACTAAGATACTCTCGGTACACTCGCTCACTGACTCAACTAGGTACTCACTGACCGACTATCAACTCGATGGACTCCGCACTGACTAACTGACTCTTTGCGTACCAGCAGTGTTTATATAGCTTGGCTTGTGTTCGAGTACATTCTAGGCTAAACAAGTAAGAATTCATTTCAGAAGGTTCATTCTGAGCGTGTAGGATGCATTTTGATTTTCTGCTCATTTTTCTACAAAATGACTCAGTCCCATAGGTGGCCAGTGAGCTTACTTTTAGTTTACCGAGTACCTTTGTGGATTACGAGTGTGACTCCTTTGGGTTTCACTGATAATTATGTCCTTTTATAGGACAGTTAATACTGATGATGAAATTAGCGACTGTACGGATTCCGAACGATCTACATTATCTCTGCCAACTACCTCAAGACGTGAGGAATTTTTGGAAGATCCCCCACTCATGAAAAAAGGCAAAATCAAGAAGGAGAATGCAAATTCAGAGAAGAAAATGGTGACTGCCGAAAGAGCCCAAGAAGAGAAAATACAGAAACTTATCCAGGAATTTGGAGTTGATTATATGACGCATCCCTTACAGTTCGAAAAAAGACTGAAGGAAGCCAAAACCCCAGAGGAAACAGAATAGACTCACATTTGAACATGCAGAGAAAACTTCCAAATTTTTCACTAAGGAGACCACGAATGGAACAAGTTGGCAATAATCCCGATACGGAAGGAGAATGGACTACGCCAAAGAAGACTGCGAAAATTCATGAAAATCCAATACCGATGGAAATCCCTCAAGAGAACCACTTTCAAATACTCCAAAAAATCGCAGAGGAGAACCTCAAAGGAGGAGCCAACGCTGACATCCTGCCCCCACCTATTGTATTTTAACAAAATGAATGCGATTGGATGATACTGGATGAAATGTTCAAGCAAAACTGTGCCAAGCTCCATGAAAGCCAAATGAGAGGAAAATCTATCTTCGTTTACACCAAGACTAATGGTGTAAACGAAGATAGATTTAACGATTACAGCAAAATGAATGAGCTTCTACTTTGGGAAAGAGAATTCCCTACCATTCCTACCAGTTAGATTGCAAAAAACTGATCCAGGTCATTATGAAGAACCTCCCCGCTTCTGTGAAAGAAGAGGCAAGACCTGAAATGCAGGAATTATGCCATAGAGAAAGTACAACAGTTTTTCAAAAGCCACGATGGAGATGTAATTAAACTTCCCACCTTTCTACTTGAGCTTAAAAGAACTCCAGAAGGTAACAAGATTCATCAGCTTAAAAACACGTTCAGTTTCAATATTACTATACAAAAATTTAACCCCAGGAAAATACCAGTACAATGCTTCTGCTGCCAGCAATTTGGACACTCTCAATTCTGTTGCAGTAATCCAGTAAGATGCTTAAAGTGTGGGAATTAACACTTTAGCAATCAATGCACCATGAAGCCTGAAGACAAGCCGAAATATATTTTCTGTGGACTTAATCACGTGAGCTGCTACAGAGGTTGCAGCGAGTACAAGAAAAAGTTTGAAAAGAAAAGCAGCCCACCTCAGCCTAAATCACCTGAATTCACAGAGGAAAATTTTTTCAGTGCAAAAACTACTATGATCCCAGCGCAGAAAAATCTCCCTCAAGTCAAATACAGCGAGAAACTGAAAGGTAAAACCTTCCCCTTGAAGGACTTAAAGGACGCAATCGCTTGGATTCAAGATGAAAAAATCAACATTTTCCTTACATCGATCATTTCATGCATTGGAAAAGTCAGATCTGCCAAAAATTCAGCCGAAAAACTACAGACTGGTTTCCAGGCAGCAGTGCTACTCGTTCAATTCGCAGAGTCAGAAGATTAGAAAAGTCAAAGAATATGCTCAACAATGGACCAATAGGAATGCAGATACATCATGCAGCTAAATTTTTGGACTGCAAATTTATTCCACCTTCCCCCATCTAATTCAGCAGCAGTCTGGTGGTCATTCTTTCCAGAGTAGCTTCGTTTGTTTATCTGCAACGCATCATCGAGAATTTCTTTTAATTCTCAGTCAACATCCATGCACGTTATGGTAGGAATGATATGTATCTTCCCATGCGTTATATACAGAATGCAGCTTATGCCCAGGGGCCTGTTTTCCCTGTTTTCATGTGCTTCGCACCTGAGTCTCCTGAAAGTTCTCCATCCGTCTATGGCATATCGCCAATTTTGTCACCAAATTGGCGATTTCTCGTCAAATGTGGCAATGCTATCTTCCCTTGCCAATTCCTGGCAACCCTAAACCTGCTTTGCATGGGAAACTGTCTTACCATGCATTTCGTAATAATATTATATTTTTTTATATGTTCATTGAGAGATTCCCCCCCCCCCAAGGTGATCTGAAAAAAAATTTCAGAAATTAACTGCCCCTGCATGCATAAGACAAAATATTATGGTATATCGTGAGAGCATTTTTAGTTAAGTAATTTTTATTTCTTAATTAATTAATTTTTAACTTCACATGGAATTCGTATAACAGGTTTCGTATTTAACTGTGATTTTTTTTATTTTAAAGAGGTACACTCGGCTGTACTTCAGATTTCTTTTATATTTTTAATTTATTTAGACTGTGAAAAAGTATTCTTTTGGAAATAAGCATCCATGTTTTGGCTAGCAAGGTAAATCCACATGAACTGTGGGCACACGATGGCACAGAACTTCTTCAAACCGTTATATTTCTTAACAGATTTCAGTTTCTTCTCAACGTTATTCGGTTTAATAAAAAAAGAAAAAAAGCAGGAGAAATTTAAGAACAGAAAAAGACAAGTTAACATACTTTAACAGATTGGGTATTTTTAATGTGACCTGATATATAGATAAAATAATAATCCTGAAGAAGAAATTGCAATAAGTATTTTAGGTGTGAAGGATATGGCTCGGTAAATATTCTTAAAAGACATGATTCCACATTGCTGAAACACAACTTTATTAACAAAATTATTCATTAAAACAGTCAAACTTCTACACAAATACTCGAACCTTCTCATACTTGAGATAAGGGCAATGTGTCTGATCTCGCTCACCGCACCTACAGTTATTATGAAAAATAACATGACATCATCTGGCAGCATTCACAGCCATACACAGTACTGCCACATTGTGACACAGTCACAACACAAAAGAAGTTGATTGCAAAGTTCCAATTTAAGATGTACACATTCGAATAAAATTTGTACTTTAAAATGTACGTACAAAAACAAGAAATACAAAATATATGAATAGCAATATACAAGTAATAATATACTTAAATTCTAATTGAAATATATAGCAATACAATGCACATCTCAATTAAATAAAAATAATGAAAAGTTAATAAAATACAAATTTAAACAACTCCCAAACCTATGCAATAGAAATTAATCAAGTATTTATGTACTATAACTTCTGCAGCAGACCAGAAGATGAAAAGCATTCAATGAAATTACAGTGATGAGTTTTTTGAGGAAAATGAACATGATGTCTACTGTAAGTAATTGCCTGTTGAAGAGCAATGTTTGAGTATTCACAGACTTTTCGGTGTGGAATCAGGAATTACAGGTGTAGCTGTACATTCCGACAACATATACGCTGGTTTCAAGTGATCGATTGAAACTGTAATGTTTTTGTTACTTACCTCAATAATAAAATCTTTGTCCATTCATTTAACAATGGCATGAGGGCCAGTGCAAGGGGGAGTCACAGGAGGTTTAACAAAATCGATCCATAGAAATACATGAGAACAAGTTTGAAGTGCTGGGTGTATTGATGGTTGAACATGCTTAGAGATTGGAATCGGTTTAACTTAATGCATGATTGATCGAAGCTGTGATATATAAGATTCAGAAGGAGGTACGAAATTAGTAACACAATCAGCATATCTGAGGGTAATTTAAGTGTGGTACTGTAAACAAGTTCGGCACAAGTAGCATTTATACCTTTCCTAATGGCAGATCTGATGCCCAACAGAACTATAGGCAAAATTTCAGCCTATTTTGGATTGTTATGAGCCATTGTTGCACTTTTAAGTTGCCTGTGAAATCTCTCAATCAGCCCATTGGACTGAGGATGATACGCAGTAGTTCTAATGCGATGTTTACCAAAATCTTCATTAAATCCTTAAATAATTGAGATTCAAAATATTGGCCTTGATCAGTTATTATTGATACAGGGCACCCAAATCTAGCTATCCCATTATGCACTAACACTTTGCAAGTAGTCTGAGCTGACATGTCGGCAGTAGGTATAACTTCTAACCATCTGGTAAACCTGTCAATAATTGTCATGCAATAACGGTTACCTTCAGATGGTGGAAGAGTACCTATGAAATGAATATAAATATGTATGAATCTTGCATCAGGCAAGGAAAAGGTACCCAAAGGTGATATTTAATGTTATGAATTTTAGAACATTGGCACTGTAGGCATAGAACAGCAGTTTTAATAAATTTCTTCATATTAGACCAAAAATATTACTTAGTGATTAGTTTTGTTGAGGCTGAAATACAGCATGAGAAAGAGAGTGAATCTGCTGGAAAAAATGTTAGAACGAAAAGATTCAGAAATGAACAGACAAGATGTGTCCAGTGTCCATATTGCATGAAAGGAAAATAATCTTTCTCTGGTTTTAAAAAACTGGTGAAGATTGAGATAAAGAATTTTGAAGTCCTAAATTTGTGCTTCAGATAACTTTTTATAATGAGTTGATTATCAGATACTGCATCTATTTCTACCCTGGATAAGGCATCAGCAATGATGTTATCATGACCTTTGATGTATTGTATTGTATGTCAGTGAAAAATTGGCCAGTAAAATCAAGATGACGAAGTTGCTATAGAGAACAATTTTTGGACTTTTGCTTAAAAGAATATATTATTAGGCTTTTTGTAATGCCCATAACCTGAGAAGGAGAAGGAAAAGCCTAGCCAGCGGAATAATTAGTCCAACGGAGCAGGTGGTTCTGTTGGACGGAAGGAGAAAGGAGGAACAAGAAGGCGAGGGGGGCGAAGAGAACTTTGCACCCTGGTTGTTGGACGGGACGGTCCGATATTTTTTGGCGGAAGGGAGTCGCCATTTTCTTTTGTTAGGCAGAGATTGTTTTTTTCTCATCCGGCGGAGACCATGCCGGACTTACCTATTCATGCTTGTACATATAATGTATAATAATCAAGAATTGTTTACTTATTAAAGTTTATTGTTAAACAAACAAAAAAATGGGTGTCATCTATGCGTCGATCGACGGTGACATGTGTGAAGCAACTGAACCCTACGCTACGGTTATAACACAACGATGCTTATCTGTCTCGGCACGACTACCACAGTCAACTACAATGGTGGCAGCTTTGCGATCAAATGCTTCATCACAGGGGTGTGAGTACTGATTTTTTTTTAGTTCTCTATTCGATCGGATGCAGGGTATTATTTTTTTTTTGTTTGGGTACCGGCTAAAAGGTGCAAGATTGTAAAGCAAATTGTAGGAGAATATTTTATCTGAAGTTAAATTACTTTTCTTTAAGTTTAAAATTATTCTGCGTCAGGATACAAAAGTTTAGGGGTATCATAACACAGGTCAATTGAAATTCTGGTTTTGGAGCTCCGGAAATGGTGGAAGCTCGGTAGAATTTAAGTGTTATATATATATTTTATGTATGTAAACTTTTGTATGTGTTTTTTGTCGTATGAATAATTTAGGGAACTGTGTATTTAGTGAAGAGTAATTTTCAGTGATATTTTTCTTACTGCAAATACTATTTACGGTTTTATTACTGTTTCATATCAAATGTAAAGTTATTCTGAGGTAAAGTACTAAAATTTGTTAAAAGGATTGTTGTAACATTTAACTGACAGATGTCATTTTTTGTATCAACTCATAAAGTATGTAAAAGCTCAGATAATTGATTAGAGTGCATATATGCTTGTATATTTAAATTTTAGTAGGTAAAATAATTTTTTTAGAATAACTGGTTGATTTTTGTATATCTCTTTTACAAAAATAAGTGGCTGTATTTATACTTTATGACTTATGTTATAGTAATTATCAGTGAAGTTTTTGATTTTATTGCTTGGCATATTGTCTTAATATTTCATTATGGCATATTTAATGAAAGGAAAGAAGGCCGATCTTGTACTTCTGGCCGATGAATTAGGGGAAGAGGTCTCGGATGATTTAAAAATGATCGAATTAAAAAATATCATTCTAGGAAGTAAAAATTACGAAGAGGATGTAGTTAAAGAGCTGTTAACTTCGATCATTTCCGAGAGGAAAGAGAAAGAAAATATAGAGCTAGCCGAGGGGAGATTACGCATAGAAAGCGAACGGATAGCATTAGAAAGATTAAGACTCGAAGCGGAAAACCGGAGTCTAAATTCGGAAGGTCCGGTGGATTCGACAATGAGTCCCAGAGTTAAAAGTTTGGATGAAATTGTGAAAACTATAAAATTGCTGACGGTGAGGGTTCCCGCAGGGTCAGAAGGCTGGAATTATTTTTTTAACAGTTTAGAAAAGGCCCTCGCGAGTGAGAAAGTAGCGGATAATTTAAAATCTAAGGTGTTAATGTGTTTGTTAGGAGACAAAGCTGCGCATCTTTTAACTTATTTAGAGGAAGAACAGTACGAGGATTACGAGGCTTTGAAAACCATAGTGCTTCGGGAATATGAACCTTCACCTAAGACTTGTTTGGAAAATTTTAAAGCGGGCTAAAAGGAACCCGGAGGAAAATTTTACTCAGTTTGCTACAAGATTAAATTCTATGTGGAGTTATTACTGCAAATTGAGGGGAGCGACGGATCTGGAAACTGTCAATCAGTTAGTAGTTGCGGACAGATTAATGGAAACGCTCGATACGGAAACTGCTACTCATATTGGTATTAAGCAAGGTGAAAATTGGTGGAAACCAAAGGAGTTAGCGAGAGAATGCGATATGTTTTTTCGGCAACCGGGAAATCTTACGCTAAGGGTTATAGGAAAGAGAATGATATTAAAGAGGGATTATCACCAGAGAGGATTAAAGTAAAGCCAAAAGAAAGCTATAAACTTGGTCCAGAGAAGCAGGCTTCAACAGTGTCAAATAGAGGCAAAATAAACTCTCCTCAGAAAAATTTCGCATGTTACAAATGCGGGTCAAGAGAACATTTTAAGCGTGATTGCCCTCAAAATAAAATACGAAGGACAAATTTGCGAAAGTGAACAGAGCAAGTGCAGTAGATAGTGGAGAGGTTATCGAAACTCAAGAGAACAGAGTTATTGTTGCCAAAGCGGGACATTTTGGAAAGGAAATTTCTAGACAATCAATCGAAGAGGAGTTATGCAAATTGGATAGAGTGCAGGTTAGTGTAAACGGTCGGATAAGTAACGGATTAATTCGATTCTGGCAGTGAGATAACGGTTGTAAAGGAAAGTATAATTCCAAATTTTAGATCTGGAAGCGGATCGGCAATTTATTTGAAGGGGATTTTTGGACCGCCGAGAAGGTGTGAGTTAGTAAAATTACCTTTAGCACTAATTAATGGAAAGGGTACAAATGTGCATCAGGAGATACTTTGCGCGGTGGCAAAATCTTTAGTTGAAGATGTTTTATTACCCCCACAGGTGTTATATATGTTACGGGGCGAAAACACTTGTAAAGATCGACAGTTCAACGGAGAAGGAAGTAGCAGTGGTTTGTTCTACGAATCGAAGGATTCCTCGAACGTGGGAGAGGCAGAAACACCTCAGGGTAAGTTAGAAACGGACATTCAAAGCCACGTAGCTGCTATCCCAGATGTCGGAGCGCCCTTAGTGGAGAAAACAACTAATTTATCTCAGACAGCGGAGTTTCGTCAGCAACAAAAAGAATGCACTGACTTATCTAAGATGTGGGAAAGAGCGAAAACGGATAAAGAAAATTATTTTGTGAGGAACGATTTTCTTTTTCATCGGGACAAAGTGCAGAGCAATTAGTTGTTCCTAAATGCAGAAGGAATGAAATTCTAGAGCTCATGCATGCGTCAGTGTTTGAAGGACACATGGGAATTAAAAAAACATTAGAGAGGATTCGTTATTCCTTTTATTGGG